TACTGGTATACTCTGTCGTAGGAAACAGCTTGATCTTCCCCATTTGCCTTATTTCCCAAATTCGAAGCCGGGAAGCGTGCCCCTGGTGCCGTGCACCGGCATCTTCCTCGGGCCTTGCAAATCGGGCAAAACCGTGGCGCTGATCAGCCTGATTCTGGAGCAATATCGGGGCGTCTTCGAGAGAATCTACATCTTCAGCCCGAGCGTCAACATCGACGACGGCTGGAGGAGGACCTGAAGGGTGAACACGGAGCGGGAGCAGACCGTCATTCTGATGTTGTCACGTGGCTCCGTGACCAGAGACTTGAATGGACACACCGTGCAGTGGCTCACCAATGTCCCGCTCAACCCGTCCTACGTGCTATTTATCAAGGCAGAGAGCTGCCCACGCTTGATCCGCCACCATGTAGAAAATGTGGTACGTTGGACACGGATGGAACATGCCAATTGCCTGACATCCCGGCGGCCAGCCGAGCGGCTTGGGGTGTACATCACAGTGAGACAGACCGCCGCTGGTCCGGGTAATGGATTGCCATCCCTGATGGGCTGCTATGTGCCGCATGCGGACTCTGCCCAGGACACCAGTCGCTGCGTGCCGAACTGTGTGCAATATGGGCAGCTATGCAACTTGTTTGGATGCATGATCTCGCCCAAGCTATCTGGGATTCGTGGCCGCAGGCTCCGTTGCTGTGCATAAGATTACAGCCCATAGAGACTCCGTCACGGCTGTTAGCACACTGGACTGGTGGGGCATCACCAATCACCTAGCTGACAGACTTGCACAGCACTTAGTACAGAGACGGTTGATACTGTCGCTGCCCACAAACGGCAGAAACGTGCCCAACTTCAGCAGGCCCTGGGTTTCTTGGTTGAATTGGCCTTGGTGCGCAAAGATGCCATCGAGGAGCATGACAAAGCCAACTGTGAACAGATTCTGGTCAGGCCGAACTTAGTACACGCACCTTACCCTTCACCGAACTTGGTCAGCTGCAAGCTGTTTGCTGTAACATCGGTGGACGCATTGCAGATCTTGCGTGGCAGTGGCTCCATACCATACAATGGCCGGATGCACATGATTGGGGTATCAGTCTCTTCAACTTCTATCTGTGCACTGGGCAACGATTTCCGGTCCGGTCCAGCAGTATGTCCCAGTTGATTCCACTGAAGCGGTCGCTCGTCCCCTGATCTATCGGGCCTTAGAGGAACAGATTTCCCACTTGCGAATGACTGTGGCGCACCTGCAGAACGTCACTACGTATAATTTGACGCCTGTAGATTTGACACCATCTTCCTTGTCACCCACATCTCTTCGGGTCCTGGGGTTCTACCGTGCTCGCCAAGGATTCGCGGCCCGACCAGGCTTGCGACACGGACAGCGTACGGTTGAACTAGCCCACGCATGCTTGAAGAAGCAAGGATATCCGACTAATCTCAACTTTGTCATTGACATGCCCCCTGGGCCCTATGACTTGCGCTGTGACCGTGACTTTAATGACAAAGACAAGAATCCGCAGAGCCGCAGGGGTATGCGTGACAGGTTACGACGTGCTTTGCTGAGGGCCAGATAGGTCATCAGTTTGTGCCGCATCTCGTCTTGCTTGTGCACGGTGGTGTGAAATATTCGGATGCCATCGCAGCTCAGGTTGAGCTGTACTTTTATAATGGATTCCTTGCTGCATAGCGATCGAGTCGAATCTTTTCACCCACTTTTCTGGAAGGATGTGTGATGATCCTTTCCGCTTTGACTGGAGGTCTGTTCACAATCGGACATTTTCCGCCGGAGTGGCGCCTCTTCCGACCCGCATTTTTGGGGTTGTTTTGTTCCCCCTGTTGCGGTTTTTGGGTTCCTCCTTGTTGACGGCTTTTCTTGCCTCGCGGGGCTTTTCCGATCGGCTGGTGGCTCGTCTTATTCGACCACCCATGTCTCACTTATCTTGCGTCATGCTCACGCCACGGCTGGGGCATGATGCAGCGGCCAAACAATGCCGCCTTGAAAAAAAGGCAAAAAGGCAGCGCCGTGCCCTGCACGCGCACTCCCGTGGCATTTGCGGAGCTTGAGCTCGAGTTCCACACATCAGGAAAATAGACTGGTGAAGAGCTGCGCTTTGCCGCAGGTGCAACCCCGCACTGAAGAGGGGGACTTTGCGCCTTGGCCTCAATCGCCTTGTTCCGGGGTTGGCTTGGGAAGCACTGAAGGAGGGGAACATCTCGCCCCTTGTCCTAGGTGCACCGCAGTGCCCTAGGAAAGTGCAAGCAACCCGGAAAAAAGGTGTGCGCCTCGCAGTCGGCTTTTGGGTTCTGGGTTCTTTGTGGTTTGAGGCTAGGAGCAGTGCGCGGGACCTTTAACGCTTAGGGTTTTCTTTTCCCTTGTGTTTATAGGTCGGGGGTGAATCTCCTACGGCACCGCCGTTTGGTGCTCCTAGCCCTCAAACTCACGTTTAGGACTCGCAGTCCTGGTTTCGCTTGAAACCCACCCACCCAACCCTTCTAAGCCCTGAGCTTGCTTAGGCTTCCCGCTCAGGCTTCCAAACTTGGAGCACCTGGGAGCGCACTCTCAGCCTTGTATCGGGGCCCAGACCCGCGGTCTGGGCCCTGTGCGCATCGTTGGGCCCGCCGGCCCTCCGGTGCAGGTGTGGGCACGCATGCCGCACCTTTCATCGGCACATTTCAGTTGTTTCACGGGGGGGGGAACATCTTGCCCCTTGTCCTAGGTGCACCGCAGTGCCCTAGGAAAGTGCCACCTTCCCAAGCAACCCGGAAAAAAGCCTCGCAGTCGGCTTTTGGGTTCTGGGTTTTTTGTGGTTTGAGGCTAGGAGCAGTGCGCGGGACCTTTAACTTGCTGGATCATTTTCTGAATGGTCGCCCGCGTGAAATAAGTTGCGCATTGAACGAAGTTCTGCACTTGGATGCAGCCTACGAACCTGGAAGCATGAAACCTGGAGGCCTAAGTGGGGTTGACCTAAAACGACCAATGTGCAGCAACACTTTTCTTTGATGCTTACAGCAGCAGAAGTTTGTGCAAATAACCACAGAAGGAAGCAAGAGCCCCATTTTTGAGCTCGAATGCCTAGCTATGCTTGCGGGTGTTAAGGTCTGGGCTAATTTCCTCAGACACAAACATGTCATCCTTTTCACGGACAACAACGGCTCTCTGGGAGCCATGATTTCGGGTGTCAGCAGAAACTCGACAGGTGCCGATATAGTGCATTGCTTTGACGCTTTTGTGGACAGTTTGGGGTGCATCGTCTGGTTTGAAAGAGTCAACACAGCTTCGAACCCAGCAGACGAACCCTCGCGAAATACCTCTTGCAGTGGCCTTGGAGAAGAGTTTCCATCGACTTGAGAGATCTGAGCCACATGCTCTCAGAGTTCAGGAGCAGGGGGTGATTCGTGAGGCATGTGCCTCAGGACAGTGCCTTGACGCGAAGCGCGGGGTGACTTGAACAATCCCCCTTGCATCCGGTGGAAAAAGATCTTAGTGTGATTATTGGATTTTTATTTCTGTCTGCAAAGCTCCGCTGTGCGCCGACCTGTTTGATGCTGTTTGCATCTGTGTTTTAATCCCCCTGACAATAAGAACTTTGTTTTCCTGTAAAACTGACTTAGCTAAAATTCCTGTTTCAAAAAAGTGAACCTCTCTTCCCTTGAAACTTCCCTTTGGAACACCCTCCAACAAGTTCAATTTCGGAACTTTCTTATGCTACAAACGGATTTCGGATTTCTTTGTAGAAGTCCCTCACTGTTTAGCCAGATTTAATATAATCTACATTTAAGAGGTAGTCTCTATTCAATTGTTATTATCAACAGCTAGTTTAATTCTGTTCGTATTAGATCACTTAGATTATATTTAGGAATAAACTCCTATCTAACTTCATTTTTTAGATATTAGTTGGAGCTTACCGGAATCTCAATTTACATTTTCATGTAGCTCCTATCTGGAAAGGGGTTGATTATTCAAGCTGTAATTGAACATAGCATGATTGAAAACTATATCCTTACTAAACTGTATTCAAATTGCCAATTCTAATTGAAGTAAAATCCTCTTTGGAAAGGGTATCGTATTGGGACATTATGGAGGACGCCGGGCTCCAAATTATCAGGCTTTGGGGACCCACAGTTGGAAATGTCGAAAATGTAAATTTTAAGATTCTAGATTTACCATCCCCAAAAAGGCAGTAAAACCAGGGTCCGTGGGGAGGAGGGTTTGCATATATATATATATATATATGCAAATAGTGCAAACTAGTCCAGATTTCCCATGGTAAACGTTCAGGATATAAGGAATCAAAAACCCTCTTGTACGTCTCGCGGTTATCACTTGGCTTGCAGCTCTAAAGTTCTAATCGCAATATTTTTCCATACTTTCAGCGATCAGTCCCTTGCCCGCAGCGTCCCACGTTCCTCATTGTCAGGCGTGGCTCATGTAACTTATCCACATTTTTTTTAAATATCAAAATAAATGGGAAACCTGCACGTGGCTGGCGTCTTTTAGGATTTTGTCGAAACTGTTCATTACGGCGCTTCCCAGTTCGAAACCTACCCGCGTAGGAACTGCAAGTGCGAAACTGTCAATGCTTATCATTGCTTTCCGCAAACATGGCACCTGACACGAAATGCTTGTAAGATGAAATTGATCTTCAAGCAGCTATTGCAATGGAATACATTGTACTTGGCACTCGCTTGCAAGATCCAGCAAGGCAATTTTGGGGTTTGCAGGAAGTGCATGTGGAAGGAAAACCGGGAATGGTCCGGGGTGACATTTTTCCCCACTCGCGCGCATCCAGGGACTTGATAATCAGTGTTTCGGTTTGGTTCTAATCATTGGCCACCAGTGACGCCTGTGCCGGGGACATGTTGGCCCACAAAATCAAACAAGGAGAAGTCTCTGATCACAATCAATTTTTGGTTGTTGGATGCTGGCCGTCAGGTCGCAAAGGGGTCGTGTTTTTTTTTGGTTTGGTTTGAATTCCTTTCAGCGCTTGGGCTTTTTGCCTTGAGCCATGAGCCGAATTGCGCTGTTTAGCATTTGGCTTCTTGGCAAGAGGGAGCTTGCCAGTTTTTTGCGCAAAGTCAGGCCTGTTGGGATGTACATGAGGGGCTTCAAACCCAAAACAGGAAACCCTATGCATGTGTCTCATGGTTTGTTTTATTTCTATGACGAGTGGCTTGCAAGTTTTGGCTTGGTATTAGTCATTTCTCACTTTTGAAGCGAATCCCTAACATATTCGGCAGCTTGTGGTTTATTTGGGAGGAGCATGGGGCTCACGTGGCTGTAGGTGATCGAATTCCCCGTTCAAGGGAAGAAACTGTGATGTCCATCAACCTCCTTCGTCACAGGGCCCATTTGCCACAACCTGCAGGATTGGCTGATGAACCCCCAATCCACTAGGCGTAGCCAAAGGGAATTGCTTCCCCACTGCTTGGGAATGGTGTTTGGCCACTGGGTCTCACAAATGGAAAGTCACATCTTTCCAGGCGAATCTGTCGAGTCCTTTCGAGGCTTTGCGCCTCCGGTTGCTCCATGGACACGGAGGCCCGCGCAGACCTCTGGGAGGTGCTGCACGCCATGGGGGCCCGCCCCAAGTCGCAGCCTTGCGACATGGTGGGGGTGACCTGCGAGCGCGAGGCGTTGGGACGTCGCGTTTGGACGCTTCGTTGGCGCGCCGTGAGCCGTGAGTTCCGTCAGGGCGAAGCGTGCCACGTGGTGATGCTGATTCTCTCGGATCTCCAGGGCGTGTTGCCGGAGGCTTTGGGGCGGCTGCACGCGCTGCGGAGCATCCGGCTTTCGAATTGCCACTTCGCAGGAGCCTGGAAATGGGGGACTCCAGGCTTCTTGACAAGCGAGCAGGCCAACACTGGACGAATCGACAATCCTGATTCTTACGGATGCTTTGCCCAAAACTGAAGGGTCCTCTCTGATGGGACATTGCCTATCAATCAACCTGGGGTTTGTTGATCCCAATTCCCATTGTAGCTTTTATACCTGTCGGGGCGTCTGCCTTATCGACTTACAAAAGCTTGAACAAACGCCGGCAGACCATTCCAAATTCGAGTTCATCACTGAAAAGGGAAAACCTATGGGTGTGTCTCAAATTGGGAACCGCCTTCACCCCTTTTGTCAGTTTGGGTGTGTCTCAACACGAAGAAGTACCGCTCCATCGCTGTTGCCATTTCTTCATGGGTTGCGCGAGAAGCTGGAGAGTGTTGGTGGGTCAGCGCAACAAGCTTGTGCGGTCTTCTGTCTTAAGGCTCAGCTTTTGTTGGATGGGCGGCCACCAAATTTGCTCGAGCGGCCCATTTTTCCAAATTCGGCTTTGCTGGTGCGATCGCGAACGAGGGATGGAATGACCCCGAACTCAACCGCCATCTTTGGCGGTTTGCCTAAACCCCCCTGGCCTCGGCTCGTTGCATTCACCGACATCTCGCCAAAGTCGTTCAGCTGGTGGGAACTTGCTGGTTCTCAAGACAGCGAACCAAGCCCATTCAATGGGTGGTTGGCTTTTTCATCCCCCCAAAAAGCCGGGTTCATCCCCTTGGTCTCAACAACCCAGCGGTTTCCCCCAGGAGGCCTTCCCGGCGGCTTGGCCCAGCTGCGCGGCCTGCGGCGCCTGGCCTTGGACCGCTGCAACCTCACGGGCGTCGTCCCCTGGGCCATGGGGCAGCTCCAGGAACCGCCGACTCGTTTTCTGGGGTCATAACAACGGGGCGGGCCCAGGTTTTTCGGAGTTCCGGGGGGGGGGGGGGGCCATTTTGTTTTATCACCGTATCACCCCGGACTTTGTGAGTCGTTATTCTTATTCTCATTACGAAGGTCCTTTTTTTGAACATGCATATCATTTTCTTTGCCAGTTCAACATGGTTATTAACCAAATGAATGTTCTAAACTATATAACATGCAACTCCCCTAGCACCTGTGCAATCACTGATTTTGGCGGTCCATTCGGAGTCTAGACCAGTAAGGCTCGTGCACGAGTCCGCGATCGGGCAAAAACCCGGGAAGCACAGAGCCTTTGGTAGAGTATTTTACACAGAACCATCTGATCGCACTATCTGATTGTATTGTATCACGTTGCATTGCATTGTATGCTATTGTATTGTATTGTATTGTATTTTGTGGTGTTGTATTGCTTGCCGCTTTTTGTTCATCCTCAGCTCGTTTGTGTGTCTGCTTGCTTGATGCTTGTATTGTATTGTGCTGCACTGTCCTGCACTTGACTGTACTGTACTGTTTTACAGTCTTGTTTTTTTGGGTGTTTTTCTTTCGCTTTTCTGTTTGTATTTTGGTCTGCTTGCTTTGTTTGCTGTTTTTGTTTTGTTTTGCGTTGTTTACGTTTGGTTTGCTGTCTTTTTGTTTACTTGTTTGTTTTTCTTTCTATCTTTCTTTCCTTCCTTCTTTTCCTCCTTTCTTTTCTTTTTTGTTTCTCGTTGCTTTCTTTCGTCCTTTCTTTCATTCCTTCGTTATTCCTTTATTCCTTTCTTTATGTCTTCCTTCCTTCCTTTCTTTCTTTCTTTCATTTTTTCTTCCTTGCTTCCTTGAATCAATCTTCCTTCCTTCCTTCCTTCCTTTCTTTCTTCCTTTCTTTCTTTCTTTCTTTCTTTCTTTCTTTCTTGCTTTCTTTCTTTCTTTCTTTCTTTCTTTCTTTCTTTCTTTCTTTCTTTCTTTCTTTCCTTCTTTTTGTCTTTCTTTCTTTCTTTCTTTCTTTCTTCCTATTTGTGTATATATATATATATATTTCCGTGTTTGGTCGGTTGGTTGTTTGGTGGGTTTGGTTGGTTGGTAAATTGGTGGGTTGGTGTTGGTGGGTTTGTTGTTTTATTGATTTATCAATTAGTTGGTTGGTTGGTTGGTTGGCTGGTTGGTTTGTTGGTTGGTTGGTTGGTTGATTGGTTGGTTGGTTGGCTGGTTGGTTTTGGCCGGTCGGTTGGTCGGTCGGTTGGTCGGTTGTTTTTTGTTTGTGTGTTTGTTTGTTTTTGTTTGTTTGTTTGTTTGTTTGCTGGTTTGTTTGTTTGTTTGTTTGTTTGTTTGTTTGTTTGTTTGTTTGTTTGTTTGTTTGTTTGGTTGGTTGGTTGGTTTGTTTGTTTGTTTGTTTGTTTGTTTGTTTGTTTGTTTGTTTGTTAGGTTTGTTTGTTCGTTTGGTTTGTTTGTTTGGTTTGTTTGTTTTGTTTGTTTGTTTGTTTGTTTGTTTGTTTGTTTGTTTGTTTGTTTGTTCGTTCGTTCGTTTGGTCGGTCGGCTGGCGGGCTAGTTAGCTAGTTGTTGACCAGCAAGTTGTAAATGGGCTGGTCTCAGATGCATGCTTCAAAGAAAGCGCAACTAAAGCTGTATCAACACCGCCTCCTGAGCGGCTGGGGGGTGGCCGGGGAGGGGGCTGCGTCGCTTTTCGTTGTCCAATTTAGATTTGTGATTGGCTGGGTCAGTGTACTGACGAAGATTGCTAAGATGAGTTTTCCCAGGGAACACTTCCACTCGGGTGTGGAGATCGGAGGTCGCTTGTCCTGTTGGGAGAGCCGGCCTCAATGGTTGACATATCGCTCGGTTATGCCCTTTAATCTCAGTCTCACAGGGCAACTCACATCGAGTCAGGGACCAATTCCTCCCAGTCAGGTTTTAAGTTTCCTCGTGACACCTAAAGTTTCCAGATGAGATCAGGATCTCATTCAAGATCCTGAAATCCACACATGAGACAAGTTCTCCGCAGGAGTTGCGGATGCTCAGTCTCCCGCACAACCACCTCAGCGGCGGTGTGCCGGAGTCCTTTGAAAACCTCCGCCACCTTACGCATCTTGAGACCCGGCATTGGGGCATCGGGGCATCGGGGCATCGGGGCATCGGGGCATCGTCACCTGTCGCCCAAGGCCCTCATTTGTCAAGTTTTGGTTCAATTGCGATGGTAAGTCTGACAGCGCAGGGTGACCCATCAGCATCCATTTGGCGTGAGGAACATAGCAGCCCTTTAATGAGGGCATGTTGCTTGGGTTTGGGCCACGATACCTCTGATATCTGGGGATGGGAATTCCATTGAACGAGGGACACATGTTTTTACACCGCTGGCCTGGCAAATGCCGCAGGAAGCGCGTGTTTTGCTTGGCGACGGGTTCCGTGAGAACTGATGATGTTATATCCCCCGAGGAGACAGCAGATTCCAGTGCAACTGTACCTCTGAAGGATGTTGGTAGGCATTGCCATTGGCTGGTTCCACGCATCCACAGCAGAAATCCCCGGTTTGGGACTGGTGGTTTATGGGCAAAAATGAGTATAATCCGATAGTGGAGTACTTCAGAACCAATTTAGGACTGATTACGTGAGTGCAACATTGTAACGTTGGCGATCGTTTAGCTTCGTTTTCTTTCCATGGCCTTTTGCAGTTTTTTTGCCAAACACCCGAGGAGTGTTCAGCATGGGTGGTTGTCGGAGTGTGATTGACATGACAAGCCAACCAATAGTTAACCTTCACCATTTTGCTGGCGAACCTGAGCTGACTTTTTGCCTACCCTCAAGTTTATGTAACTTCTCCAACCTGACGTATGGCCTAACTTTCCGGCTCGCCGCTAACCTTCACCAACTTGCTAAACTAGACTGAGTTTCTGGCTAAGCGCAATTTCTTGATAAACTCGCCTGACCTGAACTGGACATTATCTAACTTGCTGGCTAACCATGCTAACCTCAACTTCAAAACATGTTTGGCAAGTCTTAACTTAATTTGACTCCAAAGAACACTAGGTGCAGGAAGTTGCATTAGCCCTCAATTTGCAGACCCCTGTACCCTCCTTCTGCCTACGTTTTCTGGCCCCGAAAATGCATCTCTCAACTGTGATAAACCTGCTTGACATAGAACTGGGAAGTCGACGGAACGTGCCTAAGCAGTACACCCCTGCCAGATAAGACCCCTCACTGACTCACGCGCCAAATCAGGCCCCCCCTCCCCCCCTTCCCCCCAACTTTGAATTCTTGTCATTTTTTCAACGCACCGACAAGGCGTTTTTTTCTTTTTTTTGTGTGAGGGCCACTTGAAAATGTTCAAGGGTCCTGCCCTCGGCGCTTCCGAGGACTTGGAGAGCAACCGCCTGCGCCTGCCGCTGCCGAGATCCATGCGGCACCTGTCGCAGCTGCGCAGCGCCGAGCTCAGCGGCAACGAGTGGCGCGCAGCCGGCCCCGGGCCTCGGCAGGGCCAGAACTGCGCGCCCTTCCGCAAGGAGAAGACGAGACGCGAGAAATGGCTGCGGTTCTTCAATGGAATTCCATCTTGGGGTAGTTGCACTCGGGGCATTTGATGTTGACCCATGGCCAAATCGGAGCGAAACGGGGGGTTGTTGGGCACAAGGATCAAGTCAAAACGCAATGTGGGGCCTGGAATAAGGCTGATATCAAGCTGGTCATACTGTCTGGGGAGATATGTTGAACTGCCCCTTTGGAGGAAACCATGTTCGTGTCCACCGACCACCTTTTTCGGGGTTGCCGACTGAATGGCCAATTGGGCATGGCTAAATCCTAAATTCAAGAGGCCTGGGTTGGAAAGAGGGTTTTTGTGTTGCTATTTTCTGTGAGTGGGCAAGGCAACCGCGAAAGTGACTAAGTAGTCATGGGAATGGACCACTTTATCACAAGAGTCAAGAGAAGTCAATAAATGAAGTCAACTCAGGAATCTATCCAAATAGGGGAACCCCCCAAAATGGAGGTTGTCCTTGGCTCCCCTTTTCAAGCAGCGAGTTAGCGAGTGCCCTCCCTGTTGACGTAGGACCCCTGCCGCCAGTTCCGGTTTTGGGACCTCCGGGAATGCGGGCTCTGCGTGCTGAGCGCTTCGGCAGCGGCAGTGGGCGCCTGCCTCCACGGGCTCTACGCGAAGCGCTCGTCGGAGGTGGAGTTGGAGGTGCATCATGCCGAAGAGTGGACCTCAGATGGACGGACTGCATGGGTCAAACTTAAACCACCAGACTGCAGGTTTTAGTCTTTGAGCCCCATTTACCAGGGGCTCCATTTTGGGTACGCATTTTTGACCCACACCGCACCCATTTCTTTGGTAAGTTGGTCATAACCATGGTCATACGGGCAACGGAGGTTGGTTTCCTTGTGGCTTCCCTTCAATGGAGCGCCTTGGCCTCCCAGGTTTTACACAGCCCCCTAGTGGTCACTATCCCTGCAAGTTACTTCGCTTACAACTCCTGTAAGCTGCTTATTACCAGAAGAGCCGGTGAAGCCAGTTGGCAAAAGTTTCACAAATGTAAGCCTTTGTTTTTTTGAAAAACAAATAAGGCGCCGGCGGAGTTGAAAGCGCCCAAGGGGGCTCTGGAGATCGCGGCAGCGGCGGTGTATCCCACCACCTGGGGCCAAGTGGGATACACGTGTCTGGCGGTGGTGGCACAGCTTTTCGCGCCGATGGTGTTGGCCTGGTGCCTCGGAGCAAACAAGCAAGAAGCCCCTAGTTGGTGGTTTGGACTGGTGGCTGGCTGGTTGGTTGGTCGGTTGGTATACTTCTGCCATGCATTTGACCAAGGTTCCTCAACCCTTTGCTGGTGCTCGTGCTGATGCTGCTGCCAAGGGTGGCATTTGTCTCAGGCGAGTTCCCTCTGCGGTTCTTCTGCGTCGGGTTCCTTGCCATAGCAAAGGCTTGGTCCCAAAATGCCAAAAAACAGGGGCTTACCATCAACAAAGGTTCAAACTCGCGCTGGAACGTGTTCAACAAAAGCCAAACCACTGCCCCTTCTTTTTACAGCGCCCTTTGATTCTTGGCGCAAAGTGCAAGCCAGACCGGCAGCGTCAAAGGCAAGCAGACAGGACGCAAGAAGCCTAAGCCGCTTTGCAGTGTTTGAAAGAGTAAGAAGCCCTTGTTGTTGTTGTTGTTGTTGTTGTTGTTGTTGCTGCTGCAGTTGCTGCTGCTGCTGCTGCTGCTGTTGTTGTTGTTGTTGTTGTTGTTGTTGTTGTTGTTGTTGTTGTTGTTGTTGTTGTTGTTGTTGTTGTTGTTGTTGTTGTTGTTGTTGTTGTTGTTGTTGTTGTGTTGTTGTTGTTGTTGTTGTTGTTGTTGTTGTTGTTGTTGTTGTTGTTGTTGTTGTTGTTGTTGTTTTGTTGTTGTTGTTGTTGTGTTGTTGTTGTTGTTGTTGTTGTTGTTGTTGTTGTTGTTGTTGTTGTTGTTGTTGTTGTTGTTGTTGTTGTTGTTGTTGTTGTTGTTGTTGTTGTTGTTGTTGTTGTTGTTGTTGTTGTTGTTGTTGTTGTTGTTGTTGTTGTTGTTGTTGTTGTTGTTGTTGTTGTTGTTGTTGTTGTGGTCGTCGTCGTCGTCGTCGTCGTCGTGTCGTCGTTGTTGTTGTTGTTGTTGTTGTTGTTGTTGTTGTTGTTGTTGTTGTTGTTGTTGTTGTGGTTGTTGTTGTTGTTGTTGTTGTTGTTGTTGTTGTTGTTGTTGTTGTTGTTGTTGTTGTTGTTGTTGTTGTTGTTGTTGTTGTTGTTGTTGTCGTTGTCGTTGTCGTTGTCGTTGTCGTTGTCGTGTGTCGTTGTCGTTGTCGTTGTCGTTGTCGTTGTCGTTGTCGTTGTCGTTGTCGTTGTCGTGGTCGTCGTCGTCGTCGTCGTCGTCGTCGTCGTCGTCGTCGTCGTCGTCGTCGTCGTCGTCGTCGTCGTCGTCGTCGTCGTGGTCGTGGTCGTTGTCGTGGTCGTTGTCGTTGTCGTTTCTTTTTTTTTTTTTTAAACACACACATATATATATATATAATATATATATATATATATATATATTTGGGAAGCTTCGAGTGAGGCTGAGCTCTTTCTGCGCTCCCCGGCGCAGCGCGCTCGCGGAGCTGGCAGGATTGGCGCTGGCCGCCGCCGCTGTTGCGGCGCTTGGGGGGCTTCAGGCGCTGAGAGCCACGCACCCGCGCCTGGGGGAGGTGCGGGCGAGCCTGCTGAGCGAGGACTCGGCTCAGGCGGGCGCGGGCGGTTGTCCGGAGGGTAGTTGGTTGTTGTTTTCCAGAAGGGAAAACGCCCTTGCCAAAGTTCAAGTGTGGTTGACCTCCAGGTTTGACTTGGTCAATACAGCTGTTGTGACATTGAAGGCACATTATTCGCATTGATCGGTCGGGATCCCTTTCAAAGTCAGTTTTGGCAACAATGGCCAACAGAACCATTCACAAATTCACAGGACTTCTTTTTCTACAGAAAACAATGCTGTGAGTGGGTTTTTGGGGAATCCTGCTCACATAGAGACAGGTGGCAGAGATAGTTGGCGATTTCCTTGTCCTGGTGCATTTCCTCCACGCGGTCTTGTTCCTCACAGCGCTGCGCGGGCTGTTTCTCTGCTGCTTTCTGTTAAAACGCCGAACCTCCGCTGCAGCGGTCTTAGACGTGCGGCTTGGCTGCCGAATTCGACACTTTGGTTACAAATGGTACTGCTGACTTCCAGGCTGAAACAGAGGCGAGACCCAGCCCGCTTTGGTGCCACATGGCTGGCGCTGCTCGATTGAACAGATACACTGATACACCCTGAAACAGTTTCAAAGGAGCTTCCGCTAGAATGCGGGGTGGTCCATTATCTTCGTGCGGGCAGGCAACCAAACTCAGTCTTGCCTCCCAAAGGTTGTCAACCCAAAAAGGAAAAGGATTGTGAAGGCGTTGAACCCCCCAATGGCCGCAATTGACTTTGGTTTCCTTTGGAACCTGTTAGTCTGCTGGTTTCCTTTGGCGAACCATTGGTTTGGTTTTACATTCCACTTCTTTGAGGCAGAAGCTGGCGCTTGCATTGAGCAGTCCTTCTCCAGGCGGGAAGAACTCGGGCCGAAGGGGGCGGAGGGGGGCTGAGTCCGGCTCCCACAACCGCAGGCCTTCTTCGGCCTTTCTCGCCTCTTTCTGGCGTCACACCACATGTCCGCCGAATTGTTGCCGGCAAAAAAACGAGGGCACACCACGCGCACCCCCTGGCGTCGGGTTTAGGGACGGCGGAAGAAGAAGACGAGCGCCCGGACGGCTCTCCCGCGACCCTCTCCATGTCCTCGGTGGCGCCGGACTTGGTGGCGATGGAGATGGCCGATGGTCTGCAGATCTTCAGAAAAAGCTCGCCGCAGCTCGTGTGCCAGGCAGGGGCAGGGTGGGGAGGGTGGCAGGGATTGGCGGGTTGACCGTGCGACTGGTGGGCTGAAACGACCTTGTGCCCCGGAAGGTTGGTTGAAAAGGCAAGGACCGTCCCATGATTCGTTTTGAAAGGACGCCCACATGGGTTGGAACAAGGTTGGCCTGTCCCTAGGTGCGGTTGCTGCGGCCCAGGAAGATTTACCGACACATTTGCATGTGTCTTGGCCCAAAAACTCTTCGGCGGACCTCTTTGCCCCTTGGACCCTAAAAGCATTCCCAGGGTTTGTGTGTTTTGAAGGCTACCCTTCTCAGGTCGGTTCCATGTGTAACCCTTGCGGACCCCTTGTGGACTGCTTGTGGAGCGCTGTGAAACCCTTCCCTCAACATCGCCCGTTCGCAGAACCTCGTGGAACCCTCGTGAAACCCTGGTGAAACAGTGATGGAACCCTAAGGGACACCAACCCCTTTGGACCTTCAAAGCATTCACAGGGTTTGTGTGTTTTGAAGGCTATTGTTCTCAGGTTCCAAGGGCAATCAACAGAGAATCCACCGTTGTCTTGGGCCCTGCCCGATGCCAAGCTCGGCCTCAGCCCTCGCTTAGGATTGTGGCCACCTCCTTCACGGACCTATTGGTGGCCATGCAATTCCTGGAGGGGCACTTCTTCGGGTTCCTGGCCACCCGCACTTTTGTGGATGTTCTCAAACGGAAACCAAACGTGGACAGGTTGAACCTTCCCTGATATTTTTTTTTAATGGACCTCCTTCTGGTTGCGAGTTTATTTCGAAGCAGCTAAGAGGAATCCAAGGGTTGAGGGGATTCTTGTGAGACGGAAGTGGGTTCTTTCCTTTGCCAGGAACCTCAGGGAGGAGGTGCGCCTGAGTGTGCGCCAGGGATACTACACCGACGGGATGGTGGCAATGCGCAACAGCGAGCGGGGCATCGAAGGCGGGATCAGCGACTGAGTCAGGCCATCGGGGACGAGGGACGGTGACAAAGGGGATGAGGAACGTGGCGAGAGTAGGTGCTTTCGAGCGCTTGTCCTGGCTAGGTGCGATAGTTCTGCGGTGGTTTTCCAAACTTCCTCCAAATGGGTTGGGAAGGAATTCCGTTTTCAGCGGCCTCGTTTCCCCCACACCCAGCCCAAGCAAGCTGACGATTATTTTCCCGGCGCGAGATTTCGCACTGGAAAGACATGAAGGTCGAGGTGAAGTGAAGCTATTTGTCCGGCAAATAAACTATTTGGGGTCTTTTGCGTGCCCAATCATGAACCCACCCGAATCATTGAGGATAGCCCAGCTCAGATCTGATCTACCCCCACCAAACCCTGGTGCGAGCTACCTGGTTCATACTCCACCCAATCACCTCCCAAGCGCAGAACTATCTTCCGGCTTTTGCAGCTTCATGCCACTTTCGCTGGAAAACCATCCCAACAACGAACAACACCAGCCCAAAGCATGAACATTTCAACAGAAGGCATCCAACCTACCCCCAACCCGAAAACAAAAGTGGAATGTACGAACTCAACCCCTCGAGGTTTGCTGGACCTGGCGCTGAAGATCTACGCTCTGCCTTGGGGCGTGGACTCCAACTGGGACTTTGGGGTCTTCCTCTTTCAGATTCTGAGCCTCTGTCTGAAGTGCCGCAAGGGCCGCAAGGGCCGCAAGGGCCGCAAGGGCCGCAAGGGCCGCAAGGGCCGCAAGGGCCGCAAGGGCCGCAAGGGCCGCAAGGGCCGCAAGGCCCGCAAGGGTATGCGTCAAAAAATAGGGCTTCGGACCCTCAACCTGCTGGGAATTCCTTTTGATATTCCCTTTGAGCCAACCCTAAAAGGGTACCTTCAACAAACATGTGTGGTCCCCACACACACACACACACACAGTTCTGGTTGTTTTTCTTGCCCACCTGCGGAGTGAGGAAGGAGTGAGTCTTAGCTCAAAGTTTTCGGCCGGAACTCGAACCGCTCATAAACGCTTAGTGTTTGGGACATCTGGGAGGAGGTTGCTTGCCATGGTTCGCCGCAAGCGCTGCAAAGACCTTGGATCAGCCCCTTGCCCAATGGTCAAGGTATGTCGATCTTTGCGACCGTGTATTTTCCTGCCCAATTTCATGGCAGTCGCCATTTAGACTCGTCTTGAATCCTGAGTTGAGTTTTGGAAGTCTATGAGTGTCCCTAGGAATCCGAGATCTCCCAAAAAAGGGGAGACTTGGGGCCGTCCTTATCCGAGGATCGGTTTTCGTGGCCTGGTGCTCCTGCTGCGCAGCAAGGACCTGCTGGCAGGATACGCCTAGGCCGTTTCGGTTTTCGGGGGGAGGCGGAGCTTGACCATGGACTTTGTTACCCACTCGTTCACTGGGGTTGAGGATACATTTTTTGCATTTTACCAGTGACTCCATGTGAAGCAAACAATAACATATGCATTCTATAACTGGTTGCCTAGCTCCGATCATGTTTGGAAGCGCCAATTGTCAAGCTTTCCAACTTTGATTTGTTGTCATTTGAGTGCTGGGTGCCGGGCGGCCATACTGTACTGCCAAGGACTTTAAGCCATGTGTCGCATGCCAAGCTTTGCCACCACTCATTTGTCTTCCATCCTTCGGGAGAGAATCTACATGAATTTGATTTGGACATCCTACAGAACAAAGCTGTTACGGGAAGACGCCGCATCCAGGGTTTCTTTTCCGTTGGTTTAGGTTCTACCTGAAAAAAATGCGAGTGTTTCTTGGTTCTTGGAAGGGCGGGATGGAGATCCGGGCGCTTGGGGAGTCGGGAGTCGGGACCCGCACTGATCAAAGAGCTACCACTTTTCGAGTTGCTGCCTTTGCGTGGCTATTGGCAACGGATCTTTGGGCTTCAACACTTTCTTCGGTGAAATCGTGGATTTGCCGAATTGGACCCACCAAAAACACACACACACACACACACACACACACACACACACACACACACACACACACACACACACACACACACACACACACACACACACACACACACACACACACACACACACACACACACACACACACACACAAACACACACACACAAACACACACACACAAACAAACAAACAAACAAACACACAAACACACACACACTTTTTGTACAGGGGCAACAGCAGCCAAGCTGTGCAAGTTCTCTTTGCGGAAGTGGGCTCTCTATTCTGAGATGTTGAGACCGCATCCACTCTGTGGTCAATTGGGGCCGGAGGACCGATGCAAACCTGCCATATGTTTGTTTTTGGTATGTTCCAGCGTAAAGGTTTAACAGTGCAACTACTGTTAATCAACCCTGAGAAGTTTAGTTTGATTGGTAGTAGGTCCCAAGCCTAGTGACACAACCACCCCCCCAAACAAATATCCATGTTTTGGTCGACGTCGAGTCGCCAGGTTTTTGATTCTGACTCAGTTCGGCTTCCCTTCCACTGGGTGTCATGATGGGCGTCGCGCGGAGACCCGGAAAAAGGGGGGAAGGTTTGGGGAGAGGGGTTGTTTTGGGTATAGCTCAGTTTTCTGGGGGGCGGCCAATAGAGGAATCTATCCAACTAGGCGAGCCCTCCCCCCCAAGAAAGAAAGAAAGAAAGAAAGAAAGAAAGAAAGAAGGTAGTTCTCCTTTTTGGCTCGCCTTTACAACCAGCCCCTCAAAAATGCACCGCCCGTTGGGTTTTTCCCATCGGCAGCTGAAAGCGAGGCTTGACGCACCTCTGAGCTCGGCTGAGTTGCAAGTGGTCAGGTGGCCTATCCAGAAGCGGGGGGCCCACGTTTTGGAGCCCATGAATGTTTCCGGGATGGTACAGGGAGTGGCGAGTGCCGGGACAGTGACGCCCATGTGTTGGAAAGATAGGCCAAGCGCAGATATGGCCATGGGTCAAAATCCTGTCCAGTGAACATCCCAATCCCCACTAAAATAGACCAAAATGGGTGGTGCACCTACCCCAAAACGGTACCATTGGTTTTGACTCACAGCCATATGGCTTGAAGCAAGCCTAGCTCCTGTGCTCTGCTCGTTTCCAAGACTTCTGTGGAACTTGTCTAGATATCAAGGTCAACTCGCTATGAATCGGGACCATTCATGTGACTGTCGCTCGCTTTCACGCAGAAAAACCGGAAAGGACTATCCTTGGACCCCCGAAAAGGTGAGTAAGTGGGTGGGCGAGGGCTGCCTTGGTCCATGGGGGAGGTGCTTGCCATGCAGAGTTTCTCTGCAATAAGCACGAAGTTACTTGCTCAGAAAGGCTTCTTCCCACGAGTTTGTCCAAGCATTGAGGACCCACTCAGTGATTGCCTTTTGGATGGCGCTCAGCTGGAACCAAGCATGTAGAGGCTTTTTGTTAGGACATATGTGTTCTATAGGAACCACTTTCCCAGCTGGCCCAAGTGAAGCCAAAGCAGCTCGGGAATTCACTCCTTGGGGGTCCAAACCCGGGGCCCCTTTCAGGTTCCATGTCAGTTGACTTGTGGGAATGACATTTCACCAGCCACTCTGGCTCGCCTCATACCAACATCCCCATGCGCACGATTCGGGGCAGGGTTTTGCCTTGCGATTTGGACTGGAAGCCTTCAAACTTGACTCCGGCTTCTGGTGGTCCCCAAACCATGAAGCTTCCGGTTGGACCAAGGCGTCCATTTGTAGTCAAAAAAACTAGTGGACACCTCGTTTCCCTTCAAATCGGTCAATGCCGGGATGCGTTTGCTTGAGCCTTTACCCCTTTTAAGGGGACGCAAAGGCACTGCCCCGTGCAATGGGACTCCAAGAGCAAATTGTTTGCCCCGAGCCCGGAAGCGGAAGGAGCTCCATTTGCCCTGCACGACGTCGAGTCCATAGTGCAGCTCGACCATTGCGACGCCAGGCCTGTGGGAAATGGGGTCGGTTGCCACTGTCTCCGCTGTTCCCCATTTTGGACTCACTTTTGGTATTGGCAGGCCTGTGACAGGCGTATGATCCCAGGAAGTAAACACACAAACCAAAGACGCATTCATTGCATATACCACTAGCTTTGGGGTCTCCCAAACATGAAGTCTCTTTCAAGGCAGGACTCCTGCTGGTCAGGCCGAACGCTCTAGCAAAGCAGCAGTCTCGTGTTGATCAGTCTTGTTTTTATTCAGTCAAGAAAGGAGCATGGCCAGTATTATTTTGTCCCAGGAAGTCCAGCTCCGACCAAAAACACTTTCCGCTTTTGTCATTTCCAGGCTTTCACTGCAGCCATTTCATCGAGGAACTGGGACTGGCTCCCTGCCTTCTTGCGTGGCCGCCGTGTCACATGGCTTCGGCTTTGACTATCATCGGCCTTGACGATGAGCTGGCAGCGATTCCTGCACCATGGCGTGACCGAGTGCAGCACCATGCTCGGCGCTTCCAGGAGAAGAATGCCACAACGGTCCTTAATCGCTACGAGCAGCAGAGGAGAATCATGAGACGGCCGCAGCTTGAAAAGCATGCCTTTCATGTGGCATCCTGGCTGGTGCTTCCAGAGGTGAGAAGAAGCCACGGCGGTTCCGTGGAGGCGCTGCTGTCCAGGTACTTGGAGTCCTTGGATGGGCAGCCACTTTGCGAGCGCCTGAAAGCGGTTCTGTCGCTTGTCTCGGCCAGTTCGGGAGTTGCAGGGCTCTCGGGGTTGCTGGGTAAAGGGCAGAAGAGAAAGGTGGAGATGATGCAGGCAGAAGAGCCAGAAAAGCCAGATTCCAGCAAGCCAGTTGATGCCTGCGGTGAGAAGGCTGTGCGGCTGATGCAGAAGGCCAGCCAAACATGGCAGAACCACCCGTCCGAGTGCCGGGAAGCGTACGTGGAGTCTCTGGAGCAAGAGGTGCAAGAGGCCGACGGAGCTGAGAACTCGGCCAAGCTGCGCATGGTCCTGCGCCGAGCCGTAGCTGCGCTTTCCCCGCCACGGCGTTTGGGTGATGGATGCGAGGGCAAGTTGCTGGCATCCCACGCATCCAACGATGAGTGGACGCTGGCCACCAACCTGCAATCTCGACTTCGCAAAATCGTGCTCCGCTGCCTGGATCGAGTGGACATGGCAGATTTGCGCGTTGCGCCGGTGCTGCAATGCTTGCAGTCACTGCTCCAAAGGTTTCAGGAGCTTGTCACCGGTCAAAGCAGGATCGCTTGCAAGAAGCAATGGGCTCGGCTTCAAGCCAAGTGTGCGAGCACTGTGCCACCCGAAGCAGCAGCAAGCTTGTCAGCGCGTGCAAAGGGAGCCGACGATGGTGCTGGCATTGCCAAGCCCGAGTCTTCAGGATCATGCCCCCATGGCAAGCTGAGACGAAGCTGCGCTCAATGCAGAGGCTACATGGCAAGTGGGCTTACAATTGTCCGCAATGCAGTGTTTGCCCGCACGGAAAAGTCAAGCGCAATTGCTCGGAATGCACACCCTGTCCGCATGGCAAGGCAAAACAAATCTGCTCGCAGTGCACGGGATGTCCGCATAGTAAGCAAAAACAATACTGCCTGCAGTGCGGCGCATGCCCACATGGCAAGATCAAGCAGAATTGCTTGCAGTGCAGCGCATGCCCACATGGCAAGATTAAGAACAACTGCGTGCGCTGCAGCGCATGCCCACATGGCAAGATTAAGAAGAACTGTGTGCAGTGCAGCGCATGCCCGCACGGCAAGCTGAAGAGGAACTGTCGTATGTGTGCCGAAGCGAGGGGAAAAGTGAACTGCACGCTTTCAGGCTAGTTGCTCCATTGTTTCGCTGTTGCCAAATAATTAGTTAGGCTGGGTGTAGGCGCTCCAGTTGCTGGTGGCTGAAGAGATTTTGGAGCTTGTTGTCATTTTGCCCGTGCAAGATTCTTCTTGGCTTCGGGGACTCATGTCAACAGATTCTTGGACCTCTGAAGGAGCGCGGTCCAGGGCTTGAGCTGGCGTGAGCCCCAGGGAACAGCGTTTGGGTTGACAGCTAACATTGGTTGGAACCTGCGATCTTTTTGATTCCCAAAGGAAGGGCCGGCGCACTGAAAGCGCGTCTTACCATTCGGCCAGTGCTTCTGCCACAAAGGCGTTCCCAGTGCAGGTCTCCATCTACACGTTTCACGGGAATTCAAACCTTCAGTTTGCATCCGTCTCTTGATCGCTCGAGCTGGCCAAACTTGGTTCCCGGTCTCTTTGGAAGGGTGTACCGGAAGGCGGAAGTTTGGTCGCCATTCCTGGGGGCATAGAACTTACAAAATGCAGAATCGAGTTTGGTAGTTGGCCTTTCCAATGTCAATTTGCCTTCCGGCGGGTTTGCACCGGAAGGCAGAAGGCCTGGGAGGTGCGGAGGCCGCGGGGTTCGCCTCTCGTGAGGCGGGGCCACTGGGCCGGTCTAAGGTAACGGAAGGCAGTCTTCGGGGTTATGGGCATGCAAAGCAAGAAGTCACAAGAAGTCGCAAGAAGTCGAGAAGCCAAAGGAGCGAGTCACGTTTTACCTGAGGGCTGGGGGTTTTCAGACGACTCGCCTTGTTCGACTCTTCAAATATTGTCCCGGGAGGTGCACTGAAAGAGGAACAGGAGGGTGGCGTTCTCAAAGGCATCGCCGTTCTCCAAGTCGAATCTTCTGTCTGGTTCCAGTTGGACATCCAGTTGGACCCTGAGGGCAGTGGTTGGCAGACTAAGCAGATCGGATTCGGCCCCGTTTTTAAGGAATGAAGGGACATCGCAAAGCTTGTGGTTTACACATGTTTGAACATGTTCAGGCAATCGGCGGACCCGTGCATGCCCAAAAGCCGATTTGAACGTGTTCAAAGAATGCTTGGCCGCTTCTGCCTGGGGTTGCTTTTCAGGTAATGGGCCTCTGATTGACCGCCTTGCTTTTCGCCCAGGATCAACCTGAATGGTCTGGTTTTGTTGCTGGCTAGCAGATAGCAGTTGGTCTACAAGGCTTGACCTGAACGCATCCACAGCCAACAACGATGAACGGCATGCCTTGTTCCAACATTTCGAAGTGGACAATAGGCCTTCCCACTTTGAAGATTGTTAGAAACAGGGTATCCTATTCATGTGCACCATGCTCTCCAAGTGACCCTATTGAGATGTCCTTGACTGCCTGAGCGGCTGAGTTTTGACCCACTAAGAAACGGGGGTTGATCAAAGGGTCCTCTACATGGGATGAGCATTGGGTGAAACCACTCTACATGGGACGCGCATTGCACTAAAGTGGTGATATTTTCCACGAAACGGGAAACATTAGCCTGACCCCCGAAACAGACCGTCATTCACCCTCCCTTGACACACTTCGCCTAGTGCATGTCCTCCCAGTGGCCAGCTCGACCCGAAGCCAAGCCCGCTTGGTTGCTGCAGATCAGTGGCATACGTGACGGTTTTCCCAGACCCCAAGCAAGGCTTCAGAAACGGCCCAAAATGACCCCTGAGCTCTTGACTTGACATCCCGGGAATGAAAGCGGACTTTTTCCAAGGGGTGGAGGTGCTTGCCAGATGAGTTCTGCGACAAAGACCTGCTTTTTTCCCACAATTTTGTCCACAAATATTTGGGACACATGTTCTATCATCATGTTTGGCAAGGCAAATGCGACTTGTAGAAGGAAGCCGCTTTCCCAGCCCCATGGTCTATTTCCTGTTTGAAGTGAAACCAAACGACCCTAGTATTTCACTCCCTGGGGGTCCCTGAAAGAGGAATATGGGCCAAATCCAGGACCCTTTCAGGTTCCGTGTCAGAAGATAAATCATGCTTTACTTGCGGGAATGACATTTTACCATCCACTCCTAGGCGTCAAGTGGTAAACCTCATACCAACATCCCTGCGCGCAAGATTTGGGGCAGGGTTTTGTCTTGCGATTTGGACTGGAAGTGGTGGTCCCCAAACCATGAAGCTTCCGGTTGGACCAAGGCATCCATTTGTAGTCATAAAATAGTGGAAGCCTGGGCTCTCCTGTTTCCCTTCAAATCGTTCAATACCGGGATGCTTTTTCTTGAGCCCTTTTACACTTTTACCCCTTCTAAGGGACGCAAAGGCACAACCCTATGCCATGGACACTTAGAGCTTTTGTTGCATCCCAAACCCCTGAAGGAGCTGCATTTGCCCTACACGAGGGTTTTGCCTTCGGTCAGGAGATTTGACGTCGAGTCAGCTGCTCGACAATTGCGCCAGGCCTATGGGAAATGGGGTTTGGAGGCCCGCCCACTTCTTATTTCGGAATCACTCTCGGTATTTGCAGGCCTATGACAGCGGTATGATCCGAGGAGGTGAAACACAAACAACAACCCATTGATTGCATGTACCATTGGCATTATTAGCATCATTGGCATTCAGCAGATTTCGTAAAGTAAATTCCAAAACAAGTCCCTTCCAAGGCAGACCGCCCGGTCAGGCCTGACGCTCCAGCAAAGCAGCACGTGTTGATCGTCTTGTTCTCATTCAGTCAAGAACGGAGCATTGCCACTATTCTTTTGTCGCAGGAAGCCCAGCTCTCACCCTGCTTTTGGCATTTCTAGGCTTTCACTGCAGCCATTTCATCGAGGGACTGGGCTCCCCTTCCTTCTTGCGTGGCAGCTGTGTCACATGTGCTCTGTGGCATGGCTTCGGCTTTGACTACCGTTTGCCTTGACGATGAGCTGGCAGCGATGCCTGCACCATGGCGTGATCGAGTGCAGCACCATGCTCGGCGCTTTCAGGAGAAGGATGCCACAACGGTCCTGAATCGCTACGAGCAGCAGAGGAGAATCATGAGCCGGCCGCAGCTTGAAAAGCATGCCTTTCATGTAGCATCCTGGCTGGTGCTTCCAGAGGTGAGAAGAAGCCACGGCGGTTCCGTGGAGGCGCTGCTGTCCAGGTACTTGGAGTCCTTGGATGGGTGGGCACTCTGCGAGCGCCTGAAAGCGGTTCTGTCGCTTGTCTCGGCCAGTTCGGGAGTTGCAGGGCTCTCGGGGTTGCTGGGCAGAGGGCAGAAGAGAAGGGCGGAGTTGATGCAAGCAGAAGAGCCAGAAAAGCCAGATTCCGCCAAGCCAGTTGATGCGTGCCGTGAAAAGGCTTTGCGCCTGATGCAGAAGGCCAGCCAAACGTGGCAGAACCACCCATCCGAGTGCCGGGAAGTGTACGTGGAGTCTCTGGAGAAAGAGATGCAAGAGGCCGACGGAGCTGAGAACTCGGCCAAGCTGCGCATGGTCCTGCGCCGAGCTGTAGCTGCACTTTCCCCGCCTCGGCGTTTGGGTGATGGATGCGAGGGCAAGTTGCTGGCATCCCACGCATCCAACGACCAGTCGATGCTGGCCACCAACCTGCAATCTCGGCTTCGCAAAATCGTGCTCTGCTGCCTGGATCGAGTGGACTTGGCAGATTTGCGCCTTGCGCCAGTGGTGCAATGCTTGCAGTCACTGCTCCAAACATTTGAGGAGCTTTGCACCGGTGAAAGCATGATCGGATGCAGGAAGCAATGGGCTCGGCTACAAGCCAAGTGCGCCAGCACTGTGCCACCCGAAGCAGCAGCAAGCTTGTCAGCGCGTGCAAAGGGAGCTGAAGATTGTGTTGGCATTGTCAAGCCGAAGTCTTCAGCATCATGCCCCCATGGCAAGGTGAGACGAAGCTGCGCTCAATGCACAGGCTGTCCACATGGCAAGCAGCCTCAACAATGCCCGCAATGCAGTGCCTGCCCGCACGGAAAAGTCAAGCGCAATTGCTCGGAATGCACACCCTGTGCGCATGGCAAGGCAAAACGAATCTGCTTGCAATGCACGGGATGTCCACACGGAAAGCAAAAAAAGTACTGCCTGCAGTGCGGCGCATGCCCACATGGCAAGATCAAGCAGAATTGCTTGCAGTGCAGCGCATGCCCACATGGCAAGATCAAGCAGAATTGCTTGCAGTGCAGCGCATGCCCGCACGGCAAGTCCAAGCGCAACTGCTTGCAGTGCAGCGCATGCCCACATGGCAAGATCAAGAACAACTGCGTGCAGTGCAGCGCATGCCCGCACGGCAAGCTGAAGAGGAATTGTCGTATGTGTGCTGAAGCGAGGGGAAAAGTGAACTGCACGCTTTCAGGCAAGATGTTGCATTATTTCGCTGTTGCAGAATACTTAGTTCGGCTGGGTTTAGGCGATCCAGTTGCTGGTGGCTGAAGAGATTTTGGGGCTTGTTGTCTTTCCTTATGGAGGCAAAGGCGGTGCCCCTGCAAGATTCTTCTTGGCTTCGGTGGACTTGTTTGGATTTTCAACAAATTGTTGGACCGGGCTTGCGCTGGCATGAGCCCTAAGGAACGGCGTGTGGGTTGACAGTTAATATTGGTTTGAATTTGAGATTTTTGTGAATGCCCAAAAAAGGGCGGCATACTGAAAGCGTGTCTCACAATTCGGCGTCCCCAGTCCAGGTCTCCATCTATATGTTTAATTGGAAGTGACACCTTCAGTTTTGCATCCGTCTCTTGATCGCTCGAGCTGGCCAAACTTGGTTCCCGGTCTCTTTGGAAGGGTGTACCGGAAGGCGGAAGTTTGGTCGCCATTCCTGGGGGCATAGAGCTTACAAAATGCAAAGATCGAGCTCGGTAGTTGGCCTTGCCAATGTCCACTTGCCTTCCGGCGGGTTTGCGCATGCCTTTGAGGCACCAGAGGCAGAACGTGGATGTTGAGGGCCTGGCTGGGCTTTCGGAATCCTTGAATACTGGAATGACTTTTAGCCGGATAATTTTTGCAGGTCCATGTCAGAACAAGAGACACATGGCGTGATTTTTTGGAATGAGACTTTGCTGACCATCCTTCGGCCTTTGGTTCAGGGCTTTGCCCGGACGTCGAGTCTGGCGCGGAGCGGCCTGAGCGGCGCGGAGGCCGCGGGGCCTCGCGGAGTTCGTGAGGGGCCATGGCCCGGTCTCAGGTAACGGAAGGCAGTCTTCGGGGTATGCTTATGAAAACGCAAAACAAGAAAGACGTCACAAGTCGCAAGAAGTCGCAAGAAGTCACAAGAAGTCGCAAGAAGTCGGGAAGCCAAAGGGCGAGTCACGTTTTACTTGAGGGCCGGAGGTTTTCAGAAGACTCGCCTTGTTCGACTCTTCAAATATTGTCCCGGGAGGTGCTTCACTGAAAGAGGAACAGGAGGGTGGCGTTCTCAAAGGCATCACCGTTCTCCAAGTCGAATCTCCTGTCTTGTACCAGTTGTACATCCAGTTGGACCCCTGAGGGCAGTGGTTGGCGGACTAAGCAGATCGAATTCGGCCCCGTTTTTAAGGATTGAAGGGACATCCGAAAGCTTGTGGTTTAAACATGATTGAACATGTTCAGGCAATCGGCCGACCCTTGTCGTGCATGCCCAAAAGCCGATTTGAACGTGTTCAAAGAATGCTTGGCCGCTTCTGCCTGGGGTTGCTTTTCAGGTAATGGGCCTCTGATTGACCGCCTTGCTTTTCGCCCAGGATCAACCTGAAGGGTCTGGTTCTGTTGCTGGCTAGCAGATAGCAGTTGGTCCACAAGGCTTGACCTGAACGCATCCACAGCCAACAGCGATGAACGGCATGCCTTGTTCCAACATTTCGAAGTGGACAATGGGCCTTCCCACTTTGAAGATTGTTAGAAACAGGGTATCCTATTCATGTGCACCATGCTCTCCGAGTGACCCTATTGAGATGTCCTTGACTGCCTGAGCGGCTGAGTTTTGACCCATTAAGAAACGGGGGTTGATCAAAAGGTCCTCTACATGGGATGAGCATTGGGTGCAACCACTCTACATTGGATGCGCATTGCACTAAAGTGGTGATATTTTCCACGAAATGGGAAAAGTTAGCCTGAACCCCGAAACAGACAGTGGCCAGCTCGACCCGAAGCCAAGCCCGCTTGGTTGCTGCAGATCAGTGGGATACGTGACGGTTTTCCCAGACCTCAAGCAAGGCTTCAGACATGGCCCAAAATGACCCCTGAGCTCTTGACTTGACATCCCGGGAATGAAAGCGGACTTTTTCCAAGGGGTGGAGGTGCTTGCCAGATGAGTTCTGCGATGAAGACCTGCTTTTTTCCCACAACTTTGTCCACAAATATTTAGGACACATGTTCTATCATCATCTTTGGCAAGGCAAATGCGACTTGTAGAAGGAAGCCGCTTTCCCAGCCCCATGGTCCATTTCCTGTTTGAAGTGAAGCCAAACGACCCTGCATTTCACTCCCTGGGGGTCCCTGAAAGAGGAATATGGGCCAAATCCGGGACCCTTTCAGGTTCCGTGTCAGAAGATAAATCATGCTTTACTTGCGGGAATGGCATCTTACCATCCACTCCTAGGCGTCAAGTGGTGAACCTCATACCAACAGGGTTTTGTCTTGCGATTTGGACTGGAAGCCTTCAAAGCTGACTCCGGCTTTTGGTGGTCCCCAAACCATGAAGCTTCCGGTTGGACCAAGGCGTCCATTTGTAGTCATAAAATAGTGGAAGCCTGGGCTCTCCTGTTTCCCTTCAAATCGTTCAATACCGGGATGCTTTTTCTTGAGCCCTTTTACACTATTACCCTTTGTAAAGGACGCAAAGGCACGACCCGATGCCATGAACACTTAGAGCTTTTTTTGCATCCCAAACCCCTGAAGAAGCTGCATTTGCCCTACACGAGTGTTTTGCCTTCGGTCAGGAGATTTGACGTCGAGTCAGCTGCTCGAGAATTGCGCCAGGCCTGTGGGAAATGGGATTTGAGGCCCGCCCACTTTCCTATTTCGGAATCACTCTCGGTATTTGCAGGCCTATGACAGCGGTATGATCCGAGGAGGTGAAACACAAACCAAAAACGCATTGATTGCATGTACCATTGGCATTATTAGCATCATTGGCATTCAGCAGATTTCGTAAAGTAAAAGGTTCTCAATCATGCGTTACCAGCTTTGGGGGTTCCAAAACAAGTCCCTTCCAAGGCAGACCACCTGCCGGTCACGCCTGACGCTCCGGAAAGCAACACGTGTTGATTGTCTTGTTCTCATTCAGTCAAGAACGGGAGCATTGCCACTATTCTTTTGTCGCAGAAAGCCCAGCTCCGACCCTGCTTTTGTCATTTCTAGGCTTTCACTGCAGCCATTGCATCGAGGGACTGGGCTCCCGTTCCTTCTTGCGTGGTCGTTGTTTCACATGTGCTCCGTGGCATGGCTTCGGCTTTGACAACCGTTTGCCTTGAAGATGAGCTGGCAGCGATGCCTGCACCATGGCGTGACCGAGTGCAGCACCATGCTCGGCGCTTTCACGAGAAGGATGCCACAACGGTCCTGAATCGCTACGAGCAGCAGAGGAGAATCATGAGCCGGCCGCAGCTCGAAAAGCATGCCTTTCATGTGGCATCCTGGCTGGTGCTTCCAGAGGTGAGAAGAAGCCAGGGCGATTCCGTGGAGGCGCTGCTGTCCAGGTACTTGGAGTCCTTGGATGGGCAGCCACTTTGCGAGCGCCTGAAAGTGGTTCTGTCGCTTGTCTCGGCAAGTTCGGGAGTTGCAGGGCTCTCGGGGTTGCTGGGTAAAGGGCAGAAGAAAAAGGTGGAGATGATGCAAGCAGAAGAGCCAGAAAAGCCGGATTCCAGCAAGCCAGTTGATGCCTGCGGTGAAAAGGCTGCGAGGCTGATGCAGAAGGCCAGCCAAACGTGGCAGAACCACCCGTCCGAGTTCCGGGAAGTGTGCGTGGAGTCTCTGGAGCAGGAGATGCAAGAGGCCGATGGAGCTGAGAACTCGGCCAAGCTGCGCATGGTCCTGCGCCGAGCCGTAGCTGCGCTTTCCCCGCCACGGCGTCTGGGTGATGGGTGCGAGGGCAAGTTGCTGGCATCCCACGCATCCAACGACCAGGCGACGCTGGCCACCAACCTGCAATCCCGGCTTCGCAAAATCGTGCTCTGCTGCCTGGATCGAGTGGACCTGGCAGATTTGCGTCTTGCACCGGTGCTGCAATGCTTGCAGTCACTGCTCCAAAGGTTTCAGGAGCTTGTCACCGGTGAAAGCAGGATCGCTTGCAAAAAGCAATGGGCTCGGCTTCAAGCCAAGTGTGCGAGCACCGTGCCGCCCGAAGCAGCAGCAAGCTTGTCAGCGTGTGCAAAGGGAGCCGAAGATTGTGCTGGCATTGCCAAGCCCAAGTCTTCAGCATCATGCCCCCATGGCAAGGTGAGACGAAGCTGCGCTCAATGCACAGGCTGTCCACATGGCAAGCGGCCTCAACAATGCCCGCAATGCAGTGCCTGCCCGCACGGAAAAGTCAAGCGCAATTGCTCGGAATGCACACCCTGTCTGCATGGCAAGGCAAAACGATTCTGCTCGCAGTGCACGGGATGTCCGCACGGTAAGCAAAAACAATTCTGCTTGCTGTGCAGCGCATGCCCGCACGGAAATGTCAAGCGCAACTGCGTGCAGTGCAGCGCATGCCCACATGGAAAGATCAAGCAGAATTGCTTGCAGTGCAGCGCATGCCCACATGTCAAGATTAAGAAGAACTGTGTGCAGTGCAGCGCATGCCCGCACGGCAAGCTGAAGAGGAACTGTCTTATGTGTGCCGAAGCGAGGGGAAAAGTGAACTGCACGCTTTCAGGCTAGTTGCTCCATTGTTTTGCCGTTGCAAAATAATTAGTTAGGCTGGGTCTAGGCGCTCCAGTTGCTGGTGGCTGAAGAGATTTTGGAGCTTGTTGTCATTTTGCCCGTGCAAGATTCTTCTTGGCTTCGGGGACTTGTGTCAACAGATTCTTGGACCTCTGAAGGAGCGCGGTCCAGGGGCTTGCGCTGGCATGAGCCCCAGGGAACAGCGTTTGGGTTAACAGCTAACATTAATTGGAACCTGCGATCTTTTCGATTCCCAAAGGGAGGGCCGGCGCACTGAAAGCGTGTCTTACCATTCGGCCGGGAAACTTGGTTCCCGGTCTCTTTGGAAGGGTGTACCGGAAGGCGGAAGTTTGGTCGCCATTCCTGGGGGCATAGAACTTACAAAATGCAAAATCGAACTTGGTAGTAGTTGGCCTTTCCAATGTCCACTTGAGCCGGCGGGTTTGCACCGGAAGGCATCGGAAGGCATCAGTGTGCCCTGCTTGATTTTTGCATTTTGTAAGTTGGCGCAGAGCGGAAGGCAGTCTTCGGGGTTATGGGCATGCACAAAGTCACAAGAAGTCGCAAGAAGTCGCAAGAAGTCGAGAAGCCAAAGGGCGAGTCACGTTTTACCTGAGGGCCGGGGGTTTTCAGAAGACTCGCCTTGTTCGACTCTTCAAATATTGTCCCGGGAGGTGCTTCACTGAAAGAGGAACAGGAGGGTGGCGTTCTCAAAGGCATCGCCGTTCTCCAAGTTGAATCTGCTGTCTGGTACCAGTTGGACATCCAGTTGGACCCCTGAGGGTAGTGGTTGGCAGACTAAGCAGATCGGATTCGGCCCCGTTTTTAAGGAATGAAGGGACATCCCAAAGCTTGTGGTTTAAACATGTTTGAACATGTTCAGGCAATCGGCGGACCCTTGTCGTGCATGCCCAAAAGCCGATTTGAACGTGTTCAAAGAATGCTTGGCCGCTTCTGCCTGTTGCTTTTCAGGTAATGGGCCTCTGATTGACCGCCTTGCTTTTCGCCCAGGATCAACCTGAAGGGTCTGGTTCTGTTGCTGGCTAGCAGATAGCAGTTGGTCCACAAGGCTTGATGTTCTCGGAGTGAGGGCTCCTTTCGTGGTGACGGCCCGAATAGCTTTGGACCTGAGCGCATCCACAGCCAACAGCGATGACCGGCATGCCTTGTTCCAACATTTCGAAGTGGACAATGGGCCTTCCCTCTTTGAATGCTCTCCGAGTGACCCTATTGAGATGTCCTTGACTGCCTGAGCGGCTGAGTTTTGACCCATTAAGAAACGGGGGTTGATCAAAAGGTCCTCTACATGGGATGAGCATTGGGTGACACCACTCTACATGGGACGCGCATTGCACTAAAGTGGTGATATTTTCCACGAAATGGGAAAAGTTAGCCTGAACCCCGAAACAGACAGTGGCCAGCTCGACCCGAAGCCAAGCCCGCTTGGTTGCTGCAGATCAGTGGGATACGTGACGGTTTTCCCAGACCCCAAGCAAGGCTTCAGAAATGGCCCAAAATGACCCCTGAGCTCTTGACTTGACATCCCGGGAATGAAAGCGGACTTTTTCCAAGGGGTGGAGGTGCTTGCCAGATGAGTTCTGTGATAAAGACCTGCTTTTTTCCAACAAATATTTGGGACACAAGTTCTATCATCATGTTTGGCAAGGCAAATGCGACTTGTAGAAGGAAGCCGCTTTCCCAGCCCCATGGTCCATTTCCTGTTTGAAGTGAAGCCAAACGACCCTGCATTTCACTCCCTGGGGGTCCCTGAAAGAGGAACATGGGCCAAATCCGGGACCCTTTCAGGTTCCGTGTCAGAAGATAACTCATGCTTTACTTGCGGGAATGGCATCTTACCATCCACTCCTAGGCGTCAAGTGGTGAACCTCATACCAACAGGGTTTTGTCTTGCGATTTGGACTGGAAGCCTTCAAACCTGACTCCGGCTTTTGGTGGTCCCCAAACCATAAAGCTTCCGGTTGGACCAAGGCGTCCATTTGTAGTCATAAAATAGTGGAAGCCTGGGCTCTCCTGTTTCCCTTCAATTCGTTCAATACCGGGATGCTTTTTCTTGAGCCCTTTTACACTTTTACTTCTAAGGGACGCAAAGGCACGACCCTATGCCATGGACACTTAGAGCTTGTTTTGCATCCCAAACCCCTGAAGAAGCTGCATTTGCCCTACACGAGTGTTTTGCCTGCGGTCAGGAGATTTGACGCCCACTTTCCTATTTCGGAATCACTCTCGGTATTTGCAGGCCTATGACAGCGGTATGATCCGAGGAAACCAAAAACGCATTGATTGCATGTACCATTGGCATTATTATCATCATTGGCATTCAGCAGATTTCGAAAAGTAAATTCCAAAACAAGTCCCTTCCAAGGCAGACCACCTGCCGGTCAGGCCTGACGCCCCAGCAAAGCAGCACGTGCTGATCGTCTTGTTTTCATTCAGTCGAGAACGGGAGCATTGCCAGTATTCTTTTGTCGCAGGAAGCCCAGCTCCGATCCTGCTTTTGGCATTTCTAGGCTTTCACTGCAGCCATTGCATCGAGGGACTGGGCTCGCGTTCCTTCTTGCGTGGTCGTTGTGTCACATGTGCTCTGTGGCATGGCTTCGGCTTTGACTACCATCGGCCTTGAAGATGAGCTGGCAGCGATGCCTGCACCATGGCGAAGGATGCCACAACGGTCCTGAATCGCTACGAGCAGCAGAGGAGAATCATGAGCCGGCCGCAGCTCGAAAAGCATGCCTTTCATGTGGCATCCTGGCTGGTGCTTCCAGAGGTGAGAAGAAGCCAGGGCGATTCCGTGGAGGCACTACTGTCCAGGTACTTGGAGTCCTTGGATGGGCAGCCACTTTGTGAGCGCCTGAAAGTGGTTCTGTCACTTGTCTCGGCCAGTTCGGGAGTTGCAGGGCTCTCGGGGTTGCTGGGCAAAGGGCGGAAGAGAAAGGCGGAGATGATGCAGGCAGAAGAGCCAGAAAAGCCGGATTCCAGCAAGCCAGTTGATGCCTGCGGTGAAAAGGCTGTGCAGCTGATGCAGAAGGCCAGCCAAACATGGCAGAACCAGCCGTCCGAGTTCCGGGAAGCGTACGTGGATTCTCTGGAGCAGGAGATGCAAGAGGCCGACGGAGCTGAGAACTCGGCCAAGCTGCGCATGGTCCTGCGCCGAGCCGTAGCTGCGCTTTCCCCGCCACGGCGTCTGGGTGATGGGTGCGAGGGCAAGTTGCTGGCATCCCACGCATCCAACGACCAGGCGACGCTGGCCACCAACCTGCAATCTCGACTTCGCAAAATCGTGCTCCGCTGCCTGGATCGAGTGGACATGGCAGATTTGCGTCTTGCACCGGTGCTGCAATGCTTGCAGTCACTGCTCCAAAGGTTTCAGGAGCTTGTCACCGGTGAAAGCAGGATCGCTTGCAAGAAGCAATGGGCTCGGCTTCAAGCCAAGTGTGCGAGCACCGTGCCGCCCGCAGCAGCAGCAAGCTTGTCAGCGTGTGCAAAGGGAGCCGAAGATTGTGCTGGCATTGCCAAGCCCGAGTCTTCAGCATCATGCCCCCATGGCAAGGTGAGACGAAGCTGCGCTCAATGCACAGGCTGTCCACATGGCAAGCAGCCTCAACAATGCCCGCAATGCAGTGCCTGCCCGCACGGAAAAGTCAAGCGCAATTGCTCGGAATGCACACCCTGTGCGCATGGCAAGGCAAAACGAATCTGCTTGCAATGCACGGGATGTCCACACGGAAAGCAAAACAAGTACTGCCTGCAGTGCGGCGCATGCCCGCACGGCAAGATCAAGAGCAACTGCTTGCAGTGCAGCGCATGCCCACATGGAAAGATCAAGCAGAATTGCTTGCAGTGCAGCGCATGCCCACATGGCAAGATCAAGCAGAATTGCTTGCAGTGCAGCGCATGCCCACATGGCAAGATCAAGAGCAGCTGCGTGCAGTGCAGCGCATGCCCACATGGCAAGATCAAGAACAACTGCGTGCAGTGCAGCGCATGCCCGCACGGCAAGCTGAAGAGAAATTGTCGTATGTGTTCCGAAGCGAGGGGAAAAGTGAACTGCACGCTTTCAGGCTAGTTGCTCCATTGCAAAATAATTAGTTCGGCTGGGTTTAGGCGATCCAGTTGCGGTTGGCTGAAGAGACTTTGGAGCTTGTTGTCTTTCCTTATGGAGGCAAAGGCGGTGCCCCTGCAAGATTCTTCTTGGCTTCGGTGGACTTGTTTGGAATTTCAACAAATTGTTGGACCGGGCTTGTGAGCCCTAAGGAACGGCGTGTGGGTTGACAGTTAATATTGGTTTGAATTTGAGATTTTTGTGAATGCCCAAAAAAGGGCGGCATACTGAAAACGTGTCTCACAATTCGGCTTCCCCAGTCCAGGTGTCCATCTATATGTTTGATTGGAAGTGACACCTTCAGTTTTGCATCCGTCTCTTGATCACTCGAGCTGGCCAAACTTGGTTCCCTGGAAGGGTGTACCGGCAGGCGGAAGTTGGGTAGCCAGTCTTTGGGGGCATAGAACTTGCGAAATGCAAAGATCGAGCTCGGCAGTTGGCCTTTCCAATGTCCACTTGAGCCGGCGGGTTTGCGCATGCCTTTGAGGCAACAGACGCAGAAACGCGCCAAATCCGCAGCTCGTGGATGTTGAGGGCCTGGGCTCTCGTAATCGTTGAATACCGGAATGACACGACTTTAGCCGGGGACCCCTTCAGATGAGCCATGTCAGAAGAAGAAACATGGTGCTTTTTCCCCACCCGACAGGAAGGGGTTGTTAGATTTTATGTTGGAATCCGCGGCTCGTGGATGTTTTCCCGGGGTCCTGGCTGGGCTTTCGGAATCGTTGAATACTGGAATGACTTTCGCCGGATCATTTTTCAGGTCCATGTCAGAAGAAGAGACACGCGGCGTGTTATTTTTTGGAATGAGACTTTGCGGACCATCCTTCGGCCTTTGCGTCCAGCCTGGCGCCAGGCCTCGCGGAGGCTGCGGGGCCTCGCGGAGTTCGTGAGGGGCCACGGGCCAGTCTAAGGTAACGCAAGGCAGTCTTCGGGGTATGCTTCTGAAAACGCAAAACAAGAAAGACGTCACAATCCTAATAAGTCGCAAGAAGTCGCAAGAAGTCGCAAGAAGTCACAAGAAGTCGCAAGAAGTCGAGAAGCCAAAGGGCAAGTCACGTTTTACCTGAGGGCCGGGGGTTTTCAGAAGACTCGCCTTGTTCGACTCTTCAAATATTGTCCCGGGAGGTGCTTCACTGAAAGAGGAACAGGAGGGTGGCGTTCTCAAACGCCGTTCTCCAAGTCGAATCTCCTGTCTGGTACCAGTTGCACATCAGTTGGACCCCCTGAGGGCAGTGGTTGGCGGACTAAGCAGATCGAATTCGGCCCCGTTTTTAAGGATTGAAGGGACATCCGAAAGCTTGTGGTTTAAACATGTTTGAACATGTTCAGGCAATCGGCCGACCCTTGTCGTGCATGCCCAAAAGCCGATTTGAACGTGTTCAAAGAATGCTTGGCCGTTTCTGCCTGTTGCTTTTCAGGTAATGGGCCTCTGATTGACCGCCTTGCTTTTCGCCCAGGATCAACCTGAAGGGTCTGGTTCTGTTGCTGGCTAGCAGATAGCAGTTGGTCCACAAGGCTTGACCTGAACGCATCCACAGCCAACAGCGATGAACGGCATGCCTTGTTCCAACATTTCGAAGTGGACAATGCGCCTTGTCACTTTGAAGACTGTTGGAAACAGGGGATCCTATTCATGTGCACCATGCTCTCCGAGTGACCCTATTGAGATGTCCTTGACTGCCTGAGCGGCTGAGTTTTGACCCATTAAGAAACGGGGGGGTTGATCGAAAGGTCCTCTACATGGGATGAGCATTGTGTGCAACCACTCTACATTGGATGCGCATTGCACTAAAGTGGTGATACTTTCCACGAAATGGGAAAAGTTAGCCTGAACCCCAAAACAGACAGTGGCCAGCTCGACCCGAAGCCAAGCCCGCTTGGTTGCGGCAGATCAGTGGGGTACGTGACGGTTTTCCCAGACCCCAAGCAAGGCTTCAGAAATGGCCCAAAATGACCCCTGAGCTCTTGACTTGACATCCCGGGAATGAAAGCGGACTGTTTCCAAGGGGTGGAGGTTGCCAGATGAGTTCTGCGATAAAGACCTGCTTTTTTCCCACAACTTTGTCCACAAATATTTGGGACACATGTTCTATCATCATGTTTGGCAATGCAAATGCGACTTGTAGAAGGTGTTTGCGCTTTTTTTTCTGCCTGGGATTCAGCTTAATTTGCCTAATGGGACGGAATTATATATACCCCATGGTCCATTTCCTGTTTGAAGTGAAGCCAAACGACCCTAGTATTCACTCCCTGGGGGTCCCTGAAAGAGGAACATGGGCCAAATCCGGGACCCTTTCAGGTTCCGTGTCAGAAGATAAATCATGCTTTACTTGCGGGAATGACATTTTACCGTCCACTCCTAGGCGTCAAGTGGTAAACCTCATACCAACATCCCTGCGCGCAAGATTTGGGGCAGGGTTTTGTCTTGCGATTTGGACTAGAAGCCTTCGAACCTGACTCCGGCTTTTGGTGGTCCCCAAACCATGAAGCTTCCGGTTGGACCAAGGCGTCCATTTGTAGTCATAAAATAGTGGAAGCCTGGGCTCTCCTGTTTCCCTTCAAATCGTTCAATACCGGGATGCTTTTCTTGAGCCCTTTTACACTTTTACCCCTTCTAAGGGACGCAAAGGCACGACCCTATGCCATGGACACTTAGAGCTTTTTTTGCATCCCAAACCCCTGAAGAAGCTGCATTTGCCCTACACGAGTGTTTTGCCTTCGGTCAGGAGATTTGACGTCGAGTCAGCTGCTCGACAATTGCGCCAGGCCTGTGGGAAATGGGGTTTGAGGCCAGCCCGGCCAGCCCACTTTCTTATTTCGGAATCACTCTCGGTATTTGCAGGCCTATGACAGCGGTATGATCCGAGGAGGTGAAACACAAACAAAAACGCATTGATTGCATGTACCATTGGCATTATTAGCATCATTGGCAGTCAGCAGATTTTGTAAAGTAAATTCCAAAACAAGTCCCTTGCAAGGCAGACCACCTGCCGGTCAGGCCTGACGCTCCAGCAAAGCAGCACGTGTTGATCGTCTTGTTCTCATTCAGTCAAGAACGGAGCATCCAGTATTCTTTTGTCGCAGGAAGCCCAGCTCCGATCCTGCTTTTGTCATTTCTAGGTTTTGACTGCAGCCATTGCATCGAGGGACTGGGCTCCCGTTCCTTCTTGCGTGGTCGTTGTGTCACATGTGCTCCGTGGCATGGCTTCGGCTTTGACTACCATCGGCCTTGAAGATGAGCTGGCAGCGATGCCTGCACCATGGCGTGACCGAGTGCAGCACCATGCTCGTCGCTTTCACGAGAAGGATGCCACAACGGTCCTGAATCGCTACGAGCAGCAGAGGAGAATCATGAGCCGGCCGCAGCTTGAAAGACATGCCTTTCATGTGGCATGCTGGCTGGTGCTTCCAGAGGTGAGAAGAAGCCAGGGCGGTTCCGTGGAGGCGCTGCTGTCCAGGTACTTGGAGTCCTTGGATGGGCAGCCGCTTTGCGAGCGCCTGAAAGCGGTTCTGTCACTTGTCTCGGCCAGTTCGGGAGTTGCAGGGTTCTCGGGGTTGCTGGGTAAAGGGCAGAAGAGAAAGGTGGAGATGATGCAGGCAGAAGAGCCAGAAAAGCCGGATTCCAGCAAGCCAGTTGATGCCTGCGGTGAGAAGGCTTTGCGCCTGATGCAGAAGGCCAGCCAAACGTGGCAGAACCACCCATGCGAGTTCCGGGAAGTGTACGTGGAGTCTCTGGAGCAGGAGATGCAAGAGGCCGACGGAGCTGAGAACTCGGCCAAGCTGCGCATGGTCCTGCGCCGAGCCGTAGCTGCGCTTTCCCCGCCACGGCGTTTGGGTGATGGATGCGAGGGCAAGATGACGGCATCTATCCCATCCAACGATGAGTGGACGCTGGCCACCAACCTGCAATCCCGGCTTCGCAAAATTGTGCTCCGGTGCCTGGATCGAGTGGACCTGGCAGATTTGCGCGTTGCGCCGGTGCTGCAATGCTTGCAGTCACTGCTCCAAAGGTTTCAGGAGCTTGTCACCGGTGAAAGCAGGATCGCTTGCAAGAAGCAATGGGCTCGGCTTCAAGCCAAGTGTGCGAGCACCGTGCCGCCCGAAGCAGCAGCAAGCTTGTCAGCGTGTGCAAAGGGAGCCGAAGATGGTGCTGGCATTTTCAAGCCCGAGTCTTCAGCATCATGCCCCCATGGCAAGCTGAGACGAAGCTGCGCTCAATGCACAGGCTGTCCACATGGCAAGCGGCCTCAACAATGCCCGCAATGCAGTGCCTGCCCGCACGGAAAAGTCAAGCGCAATTGCTCGGAATGCACACCCTGTCCGCATGGCAAGGCAAAACGAATCTGCTCGCAGTGCACGGGATGTCCGCACGGTAAGCAAAAACAATACTGCCTGCTGTGCAGCGCATGCCCCCATGGCAAGATCAAGAGCAGCTGCGTGCAGTGCAGCGCATGCCCACATGGAAAGATCAAGCAGAACTGTGTGCAGTGCAGCGCATGCCCGCACGGCAAGCTGAAGAGGAACTGTCGTATGTGTGCCGAAGCGAGGGGAAAAGTGAACTGCACGCTTTCAGGCTAGTTGTTCCATTGTTTCGCTGTTGCCAAATAATTAGTTAGGCTGGGTCTAGGCGCTCCAGTTGCTGGTGGCTGAAGAGATTTTGCAGCTTGTTGTCATTTCCTTATTATGGAGGCAAAGACGGTGGTGCCCGTTCGGGGACTCGTGTCAACAAATTCTTGGACCTCTGAAGGAGCGCGGTCCAGGGCTTGAGCTGGCGTGAGCCCCAGGGAACAGCGTTTGGGTTAACAGCTAACATTGGTTGGAATCTGCGATCTTTTGGATTCCCAAAGGGAGGGCCGGCGCACTGAAAGCGTGTCTTACCATTCGGCCGGGAAACTTGGTTCCCGGTCTCTTTGGAAGGGTGTACCGGAAGGCGGAAGTTTGGTCGCCATTCCTGGGGGCATAGAACTTACAAAATGCAAAATCGAACTTGGTAGTAGTTGGCCTTTCCAATGTCCACTTGAGCCGGCGGGTTTGCACCGGAAGGCATCGGAAGGCATCAGTGTGCCCTGCTTGATTTTTGCATTTTGTAAGTTGGCGCAGAGCGGCCTGGGTGGTGCGGAGGCCGCGGGGTTCGCCTCTCGTGAGGCGGGGCCATGGGCCGGTCTAAGGTAACGGAAGGCAGTCTTCGGGGTTATGGGCATGCCAAGCAAGAAGTCACAAAGAGTCGCAAGAAGTCACAAGAAGTCGCAAGAAGTCACAAGAAGTCGCAAGAAGTCGAGAAGCCAAAGGGCGAGTCACGTTTTACCTGAGGGCCAGGGGTTGTCAGAAGACTCGCTTTGTTCGACTCTTCAAATATTGTCCCGGGAGGTGCTTCACTGAAAGAGGAAAGGAGCAAGTCTTTCAGGCCCACGAACAAGCACTCCGCTCTGCAAAAGAGGGTCCTGAAAATGGGAGGAGCATTGTGGGAAACCACTAAAAGAGTGATATATTTTCCCCGAACATTGGGGACTCAGCCAGTGCTCCGCGCTCAGCTGGAATCCAAGAATCACGCATTTGGAGGCTCCCGTCTTGTATGTTCTATCAGGCAAGTGCGACTTGCAGAAGGAAACCACTTTCCCAGCCCCATGGCCTATTTCCTGATTGAAGTGAAGCCAAAGAACCCTAATATCTCACTCCTTGGGGGTTCCTGAAAGTAAGAAAATCCCCACACGCACGATTCGGGGCAGGGTTTTACCTTGCGATTTGGACTGGAACTTCTCAAGCATGACTCCTGCTTTGGGTGGTCCCAAAGCCATGAAGCTTCCGGTTGGACCAAGGCGTCCCATTGTAGTCATAAAAATCGTGGAAACCTGGTGCTCTCTTGTTTCCCTTCAAATCGTTCAATACCGGGATGCGTTTTCTTGAACCCGTTTACCCCATTTAAGAGGGGACGCAAAGGCACTGCCCTGAGCCATAAACACTTAAAGCTTTTTTTTGCAGCCCAAACTTGCCCTACACGAGTGTTTTGCCGCCGGGCAGGAAATCTGGTGCCGAGTTTATGGTCCAGCTGCTCGACAATTGCGATGCCAGGCCTGTGGGAAATGAGGTTTGACGCCAGCTCACTTTCTTATTTTGAGCCAAAACCACATCAATTTGCATGTACCATTTGGCATCATTAGCATTATTGGCATTCAGCAGATTTTGTCAAGCAAAAGGCTCACAGTTTTGGGGTTTCCCAAACAAGTCCCTTCCAAGGCAGACCGCCCGGTCAGGCCTGACGCTCTAGCAAAGCAGCACGTGTTGATCGTCTTGTTCTCATTCAATCAAGAACGGGAGCATTGCCACTATTCTTTTGTCGCAGGAAGCCCAGCTCTCACCCTGCTTTTGGCATTTCTAGGCTTTCACTGCAGCCATTGCATCGAGGGACTGGGCTCCCGTTCCTTCTTGCGTGGTCGTTGTGTCACATGTGCTCCGTGGCATGGCTTCGGCTTTGACTACCGTTTGCCTTGAAGATGAGCTGGCAGCGATGCCTGCACCATGGCGTGACCGAGTGCAGCACCATGCTCGTCGCTTTCACGAGAAGGATGCCACAACGGTCCTGAATCGCTACGAGCAGCAGAGGAGAATCATGAGCCGTCCGCAGCTTGAAAGACATGCCTTTCATGTGGCATGCTGGCTGGTGCTTCCAGAGGTGAGAAGAAGCCACGGCGGTTCCGTGGAGGCGCTGCTGTCCAGGTACTTGGAGTCCTTGCATGGGCAGCCACTTTGCGAGCGCCTGAAAGCGGTTCTGTCACTTGTCTCGGCCAGTTCGGGAGTTGCAGGGCTCTCGGGGTTGCTGGGCAAAGGGCGGAAGAGAAAGGTGGAGATGATGCAGGCAGAAGAGCTAGAAAAGCCGGATTCCAGCAAGCCAGTTGATGCCTGCGGTGAGAAGGCTTTGCGCCTGATGCAGAAGGCCAGCCAAACGTGGCAGAACCACCCGTCCAAGTGCCGGGAAGCGTACGTGGAGTCTCTGGAGCAAGAGATGCAAGAGGCCGACGGAGCTGAGAACTCGGCCAAGCTGCGCATGGTCCTGCGCCAAGCCGTAGCTGCACTATCCCCGCCACGGCGTTTGGGTGATGGATGCGAGGGCAAGTTGCTGGCATCCCACGCATCCAACGACCAGGCGACGCTGGCCACCAACCTGCAATCCCGGCTTCGCAAAATCGTGCTCCGCTGCCTGGATCGAGTGGACCTGGCAGATTTGCGCCTTGCGCCGGTGCTGCAATGCTTGCAGTCACTGCTCCACGCATTTCAGGAGCTGGTCACCAGTGAAAGCACAATCGCTTGCAAGAAGCAATGGGCTCGGCTACAAGCCAAGTGTGCGAGCACCATGCCACCTGAAGCTGGAAGCTCGGGAGTTGCAGGGCTCTCGGGGTTGCTGGGCAAAGGGCGGAAGAGAAAGGCGGAGATGATACAAGCAGAAGAGCCAGAAAAGCCGGATTCCAGCAAGCCAGTTGATGCCTGCGGTGAAAAGGCTGTGCGCCTGATGCAGAAGGCCAGCCAAACGTGGCAGAACCACCTGTCCGAGTGCCGGGAAGAGTACGTGGAGTCTCTGGAGCAAGAGATGCAAGAGGCCGACGGAGCTGAGAACTCGGCCAAGCTGCGCACGGTTCTGCGCCGAGCCGTAGCTGCGCTTTCCCCGCCACGGCGTTTGGGTGACGGATGCGAGGGCAAGACGCCGTCTATCGCATGCAACGACCAGTCGCTGGCCACCAACTTGCAAACCCGGCTTCGCAAAATCGTGCTCCGCTGCCTGGATCGAGTGGACCTGGCAGATGTGCGTCTTGCACCGGTGCTGCAATGCTTGCAGTCGCTGCTCCGAACATTTCAGGAGCTGGTCACCGGTGAAAGCAGGATCGCTTGCAAGAAGCAATGGGCTCGGCTACAAGACAGGTGTGCGAGCACCATGCCACCCGAAGCAGCAGCAAGCTTGTCAGCATGTGCAAAGGGAGCCGAAGATGGTGCTGGCATTGCCAAGCCCGAGTTTTCAGCATCATGCCACCATGGCAAGCTGAGACGAAGCTGCGCTCAATGCAGAGGCTGTCCACATGGCAAGCGGCCTGAACATTGCCAGCAATGCAGTGCCTGCCCGCACGGAAAAGTCAAGCGCAATTGCTCGGAATGCAAACCCTGTCCGCATGGCAAGGCAAAACGAATCTGCTCGCAGTGCACGGGATGTCCGCACGGTAAGAAAAAACAATACTGCCTGCAGTGTAGCGCATGCCCACATGGCAAGATCAAGCGCAACTGCGTGCTGTGCAGCGCATGCCCACATGGAAAGATCAAGCAGAATTGCTTGCAGTGCAGCGCATGCCCACATGGCAAGATTAAGAAGAACTGTGTGCAGTGCAGCGCATGCCCGCACGGCAAGCTGAAGACGAACTGTCGTATGTGTGCCGAAGCGAGGGGAAAAGTGAACTGCACGCTTTCAGGCTAGTTGCTCCATTGTTTCGCCGTTGCCAAATAATTAGTTAGGCTGGGTGTAGGCGCTCCAGTTGCTGGTGGCTGAAGAGATTTTGGAGCTTGTTGTCATTTTGCCCGTGCAAGATTCTTCTTGGCTTCGGGGACTCGTGTCAACAGATTCTTGGACCTCTGAAGGAGCGCGGTCCAGGGCTTGAGCTGGCGTGAGCCCCAGGGAACAGCGTTTGGGTTCACAGCTATCATTGGTTGGAACCTGCGATCTTTTCGATTCCCAAAGGGAGGGCCGGCGCACTGAAAGCGTGTCTTACCATTCGGCCAGTGCTTCTGCCACAAAGGCGTCCCCAGTCCAGGTCTCCATCTACATGTTTCACGGGAATTCAAACCTGCAGTTTGCATCCGTCTCTTGATCGCTCGAGCTGGCCAAACTTGGCTCCCGGTCTCTTTGGAAGGGTGTACCGGAAGGCGGAAGTTTGGTCGCCATTCCTGGGGGCATAGAACTTACCAAATGCAAAGATCGAGCTTGGTAGTTGGCCTTTCCAATGTCAACTTGAGCCGGAAGGTTTGCACCGGAAGGCATCGGAAGGCATCAGTGTGCCCTGCTTGATTTTTGCATTTTGTAAGTTGGCGCGGAGCGGCCTGGGTGGTGCGGAGGCCGCGGGGTTCGCCTCTCGTGAGGCGGGGCCATGGGCCGGTCTAAGGCAACGGAAGGCAGTCTTCGGGGTTATGGGCATGCACAAAGTCACAAGAAGTCGCAAGAAGTCGCAAGAAGTCGAGAAGCCAAAGGGCGAGTCACGTTTTACCTGAGGGCCGTGGGTTTTCAGAAGACTCGCCTTGTTCGACTCTTCAAATATTGTCCCGGGAGGTGCTTCACTGAAAGAGGAACAGGAGGGTGGCGTTCTCAAAGGCATCACCGTTCTCCAAGGCGAATCTCCTGTCTGGTACCAGTTGGACATCCAGTTGGACCCTGAGGGCAGTGGTTGGCAGACTAAGCAGATCGGATTCGGCCCCGGTTTTAACGTGTTCAAAGAATGCTTGGCCGCTTCTGCCTGGGGTTGCTTTTCAGGTAATGGGCCTCTGATTGACCGCCTTGCTTTTCGCCCAGATCAACCTGAAGGGTCTGGTTCTGTTGCTGGCTAGCAGATAGCAGTTGGTCCACAAGGCTTGACCTGAACGCATCCACAGCCAACAGCGATGAACGGCATGCCTTGTTCCAACATTTCGAAGTGGACAATGGGCCTTCCCACTTTGAAGATTGTTAGAAACAGGGTCTCCTATTCATGTGCACCATGCTCTCCGAGTGACCCTATTGAGATGTCCTTGACTGCCTGAGCGGCTGAGTTTTGACCCATTAAGAAACGGGGGCTAATCAAAAGGTCCTCTACATGGGATGAGCATTGGGTGAAACCACTCTACATGGGACGCGCATTGCACTAAAGTGGTGATATTTTCCACGAAATGGGGAAAATTGGCCTGACCCCCGAAACAGACAGTGGCCAGCTCGACCCGAAGCCAAGCCCGCTTGGTTGCTGCAGATCAGTGGGGTACGTGACGGTTTTCCCAGACCCCAAGCAAGGCTTCAGAAATGGCCCAAAATGATCCCTGAGCTCTTGAGTGACATCCTGGGAATGAAAGCGGACTGTTTCCAAGGGGTGGAGGTGCTTGCCAGATGAGTTCTGCGATAAAGACCTGCTTTTTTCCCACAGTTTTGTCCACAAATATTTAGGACACATGTTCTATCATCATCTTTGGCAAGGCAAATGCGACTTGTAGAAGGAAGCCGCTTTCCCAGCCCCATGGTCCATTTCCTGTTTGAAGTGAAGCCAAACGACCCTAGTATTCACTCCCTGGGGGTCCCTGAAAGAGGAACATGGGCCAAATCCGGGACCCTTTCAGGTTCCGTGTCAGAAGATAAATCATGCCATCCACTCCTAGGCGTCAAGTGGTAAACCTCATACCAACATCCCTGCGCGCAAGATTTGGGGCAGGGTTTTGTCTTGCGATTTGGACTGGAAGCCTTCGAACCTGACTCCGGCTTTTGGTGGTCCCCATAAAATAGTGGAAGCCTGGGCTCTCCTGTTTCCCTTCAAATCGTTCAATACCGGGATGCTTTTTCTTGAGCCCTTTTACACTTTTACCCTTTGTAAGGGACGCAAAGGCACGACCCGATGCCATGGACATTTAGAGCTTTTTTTGCATCCCAAACCCCTGAAGAAGCTGCATTTGCCCTACACGAGTGTTTTGCCTTCGGTCAGGAGATTTGACGTCGAGTCGGCTGCTCGACAATTGCGCCAGGCCTGTGGGAAATGGGGTTTGAGGCCAGCCCACTTTCTTATTTCGGAATCACTCTCGGTATTTGCAGGCCTATGACAGCGGTATGATCCGAGGAGGTGAAACACAAGCAAGAAACGCATTCATTGCATGTACCATTGTCATTATTAGCATCATTGGCATTCAGCAGATTTCGTAAAGTAAAAGGTTCTCAATCATGCGATACCAGCTTTGGGGGTTCAAAACAAGTCCCTTCCAAGGCAGACCACCTGCCGGTCAGGCCTGACGCTCCAGAAAGCAGCACGTGTTGATCGTCTTGTTCTCATTCAGTCAAGGACGGGAGCATTGCCAGTATTCTTTTGTCGCAGGAAGCCCAGCTCCGACCCTGCTTTGGTCATTTCTAGGCTTTCACTGCAGCCATTGCATCGAGAGACTGGGCTCCCGTTCCTTCTTGCGTGGTCGTTGTGTCACATGTGCTCCGTGGCATGGCTTCGGCTTTGACTACCGTTTGCCTTGAAGATGAGCTTGCAGCGATGCCTGCACCATGGCGTGACCGAGTGCAGCACCATGCTCGTCGCTTTCAGGAGAAGGATGCCACAACGGTCCTGAATCGCTACGAGCAGCAGAGGAGAATCATGAGCCGGCCGCAGCTCGAAAAGCATGCCTTTCATGTGGCATCCTGGCTGGTGCTTCCAGAGGTGAGAAGAAGCCACGGCGGTTCCGTGGAGGCGCTGCTGTCCAGGTACTTGGAGTCCTTGGATGGGCAGCCACTTTGCGAGCGCCTGAAAGTGGTTCTGTCGCTTGTCTCGGCAAGTTCGGGAGTTGCAGGGCTCTCAGGGTTGCTGGGCAAAGGGCAGAAGAGAAAGGCGGAGATGATGCAGGCAGAAGAGCTGGAAAAGCCGGCTTCCAGCAAGCCAGTTGATGCCTGCGGTGAAAAGGCTGTGCGGCTGCTGCAGCCAAACATGGCAGAACCACTCATCCGAGTGCCGGGAAGCGTACGTGGAATTTCTGGAGCAAGAGATGCAAGAGGCCGACGGAGCTGAGAACTCGGCCAAGCTGCGCAGGGTCCTGCGCCAAGCCGTAGCTGCACTTTCCCCGCCACGGCGTTAGGGTGATGGGTGCGAGGACAAGATGACGCATCTATCCCATCCAACGATGAGTGGACGCTGGCCACCAACCTGCAATCCCGGCTTCGCAAAATCGTGCGCCGCTGCCTAAATCGAGTGGACATGGCAGATTTGCGCGTTGCGCCGGTGCTGCAATGCTTGCAGTCACTGCTCCAAAGGTTTCAGGAGCTTGTCACCGGTGAAAGCAGGATCGCTTGCAAGAAGAAATGGGCTCGGCTTCAAGCCAAGTGTGCGAGCACTGTGCCACCCGAAGCAGCAGCAAGCTTGTCAGCGTGTGCAAAGGGAGCCGAAGATGGTGCTGGCATTGCCAAGCCCGAGTCTTCAGCATCATGCCCCCATGGCAAGGTAAGACGAAGCTGCGCTCAATGCAGACGCTGTCCACATGGCAAGCGGCCTCAACGATGCCCGCAATGCAGTGCCCGCCCGCACGGAAAAGTCAAGCGCAATTGCTCGGAATGCAAACCCTGTCCGCATGGCAAGGCAAAACGATTCTGCTCGCAGTGCACGGGATGTCCGCACGGTAAGCAAAAACAATTCTGCCTGCTGTGCAGCGCATGCCCGCACGGAAATGTCAAGCGCAACTGCGTGCAGTGCAGCGCATGCCGACATGGAAAGATCAAGCAGAATTGCTTGCAGTGCAGCCCATGCCCACATGGCAAGATCAAGAACAACTGCGTGCAGTGCAGCGCATGTCCGCACGGCAAGCTGAAGAGGAATTGTCGTATGTGTGCCGAAGCGAGGGGAAAAGTGAACTGCACGCTTTCAGGCTAGTTGCTCCATTGTTTCGCTGTTGCAAAATAATTAGTTAGGCTGGGTCTAGGCGCTCCAGTTGCTGGTGGCTGAAGAGATTTTGGAGCTTGTTGTCATTTTGCCCGTGCAAGATTCTTCTTGGCTTCGGGGACTCGTGTCAACAAATTCTTGGACCTCTGAAGGAGCGCGGTCCAGGGCTTGAGCTGGCGTGAGCCCCAGGGAACAGCTAACATTGGTTGGAACCTGCGATCTTTTCGATTCCCAAAGGGAGGGCCGGCGCACTGAAAGCGTGTCTTACCATTCGGCCAGTGCTTCTGCCACAAAGGCGTCCCCAGTCCAGGTCTCCATCTACATGTTTCACAGGAATTCAACCTTCAGTTTGCATCCGTCTCTTGATCGCTCGAGCTGGCCAAACGTCGCCATTCTTGGGGGCATAGAACTTACAAAATGCAAAGATCGAGCTTGGTAGTCGGCCTTTCCAATGTCAATTTGCCTTCCGGCGGGTTTGCACCGGAAGGCAGAAGGCCTGGGAGGTGCGGAGGCCGCGGGGTTCGCCTCTCGTGAGGCGGGGCCACTGGGACGGTCTAAGGTAACGGAAGGCAGTCTTCGGGGTTATGGGCATGCAAAGCAAGAAGTCACAAGAAGTCGCAAGAAGTCGAGAAGCCAAAGGGCGAGTCACGTTTTACCTGAGGGCCGGGGGTTTTCAGAAGACTCGCCTTGTTCGACTCTTCAAATATTGTCCCGGGAGGTGCTTCACTGAAAGAGGAACAGGAGGGTGGCGTTCTCAAAGGCATCGCCATTCTCCAAGTCGAATCTCCTGTCTGGTACCAGTTGCACATCCAGTTGGACCCCTGAGGGTAGTGGTTGGCAGACTAAGCAGATCGGATTCGGCCCCGTTTTTCAGGAATGAAGGGACATCCCAAAGCTTGTGGTTTAAACATGTTTGAACATGTTCAGGCAATCGGCGGACCCTTGTCGTGCATGCCCAAAAGCCGATTTGAACGTGTTCAAAGAATGCTTGGCCGCTTCTGCCTGGGGTTGCTTTGCAGGTAATGGGCCTCTGATTGACCGCCTTGCTTTTCGCCCAGGATCAACCTGAAGGGTCTGGTTCTGTTGCTGGCTAGCAGATAGCAGATAGCAGTTGGTCCACAAGGCTTGATGTTCTCGGAATGAGGGCTCCTTTCGTGGTGACGGCCGGAATAGCTTTGGACCTGAGCGCATCCACAGCCAACAGCGATGAACAGCATGCCTTGTTCCAACATTTCGAAGTGGACAATAGGCCTTCCCACTTTGAAGATTGTTAGAAACAGGGTATCCTATTCATGTGCACCATGCTCTCCAAGTAACCCTATTGAGATGTCCTTGACTGCCTGAGCGGCTGAGTTTTGACGCATTAAGAAACGGGGGTTGATCAAAAGGTCCTCTGCATGGGATGAGCATTGGGTGAAACCACTCTACATGGGACGCGCATTGCACTAAAGTGGTGATATTTTCCACGAAACGGGAAACATTAGCCTGACCCCCGAAACAGACAGTGGCCAGCTCGACCCGAAGCCAAGCCCGCTTGGTTGCTGCAGATCAGTGGGGTACGTGACGGTTTTCCCGACCCCAAGCAAGGCTTCAGAAATGGCCCAAAATGACCCCTGAGCTCTTGACTTGACATCCCGGGAATGAAAGCGGACTTTTTCCAAGAGGTGGAGGTGCTTGCCAGATGAGTTCTGCGATAAAGACCTGCTTTTGTTCCCGCAATTTTGTCCACAAATATTAGGACACATGTTCTATCATCATCTTTGGCAAGGCAAATGCGACTTGTAGAAGGAAGCCGCTTTCCCAGCCCCAGCCCCATGGTCCATTTCCTGTTTGAAGTGAAGCCAAACGACCCTAGTATTTCACTTTTTGGGTGTCCCTGAAAGAGGAACATGGGCCAAATCCGGGACCCTTTCAGGTTCCGTGTCAGAAGATAAATCATGCTTTACTTGCGGGAATGACATTTTACCATCCACTCCTAGGCGTCAAGTGGTAAACCTCATACCAACATCCCTGCGCAAGATTTGGGGCAGGGTTTTGTCTTGCGATTTGGACTGGAAGCCTTCAAACTTGACTCCGGCTTTTGGTGGTCCCCAAACCATGAAGCTTCCGGTTGGACCAAGGCGTCCATTTGTAGTCATAAAATAGTGGAAGCCTGGGCTCTCCTGTTTCCCTTCAAATCGTTCAATACCGGGATGCTTTTCTTGAGCCCTTTTACACTTTTACCCCTTCTAAGGGACGCAAAGGCACGACCCTATGCCATGGACATTTAGAGCTTTTTTTGCATCCCAAACTGTTGAAGGAGCTGCATTTGCCCTACACGAGTGTTTTGCCTTCGGTCAGGAGATTTGACGTTGAGTCAGCTGCTCGACAATTGCGCCAGGCCTGTGGGAAATGGGGTTTGAGGCCAGCCCACTTTCCTATTTCGGAATCACTCTCGGTATTTGCAGGCCTATGACAGCGGTATGATCCGAGGAGGTGAAACACAAACCAAAAACGCATTGATTGCATGTACCATTGGCATTCTTAGCATGATTGGCATTCAGCAGATTTCGCAAGCAAAAGGCTCTTAATCATGTGTGAACAGTTTTGGGGTTTCCCAAACAAGTCTCTTCCAAGGCAGACCGCCCGGTCAGGCCTGACGCTCCAGCAAAGCAGCACGTGTTGATCGTCTTGTTCTCATTCAGTCAAGAACGGAGCATTGCCAGTATTCTTTTGTCGCAGGAAGCCCAGCTCCGACCCTGCTTTGGTCATTTCTAGGCTTTCACTGCAGCCATTGCATCGAGAGACTGGGCTCCCGTTCCTTCTTGCGTGGTCGTTGTGTCACATGTGCTCCGTGGCATGGCTTCGGCTTTGACTACCGTTTGCTTTGAAGATGAGCTGGCAGCGATGCCTGCACCATGGCGTGACCGAGTGCAGCACCATGCTCGTCGCTTTCAGGAGAAGGATGCCACAACGGTCCTGAATCGCTACGAGCAGCAGAGGAGAATCATGAGCCGGCCGCAGCTCGAAAAGCATGCCTTTCATGTGGCATCCTGGCTGGTGCTTCCAGAGGTGAGAAGAAGCCACGGCGGTTCCGTGGAGGCGCTGCTGTCCAGGTACTTGGAGTCCTTGGATGGGCAGCCACTTTGCGAGCGCCTGAAAGTGGTTCTGTCGCTTGTCTCGGCAAGTTCGGGAGTTGCAGGGCTCTCAGGGTTGCTGGGCAAAGGGCAGAAGAGAAAGGCGGAGATGATGCAGGCAGAAGAGCTGGAAAAGCCGGATTCCAGCAAGCCAATTGATGCCTGCGGTGACAAGGCTGTGCGGCTGATGCAGAAGGCCAGCCAAACGTGGCAGAACCACCCATCCGAGTGCCGGGAAGCGTACGTGGAGTCTTTGGAGCAAGAGATGCAAGAGGCCGACGGAGCTGAGAACTCGGCCAAGCTGCGCACGGTTCTGCGCCGAGCCGTAGCTGCGCTTTCCCCGCCACGGCGTTTGGGTGACGGATGCGAGGGCAAGACGCCGTCTATCGCATGCAACGACCAGTCGCTGGCCACCAACTTGCAAACCCGGCTTCGCAAAATCGTGCTCCGCTGCCTGGATCGAGTGGACATGTCAGATTTGCGCGTTGCGCCGGTGCTGCAATGCTTGCAGTCACTGCTCCAAAGGTTTCAGGAGCTGGTCACCGGTGAAAGCAGGATCGCTTGCAAGAAGCAATGGGCTCGGCTACAAGACAGGTGTGCGAGCACCATGCCACCCGAAGCAGCAGCAAGCTTGTCAGCATGTGCAAAGGGAGCCGAAGATGGTGCTGGCATTGCCAAGCCCGAGTTTTCAGCATCATGCCACCATGGCAAGCTGAGACGAAGCTGCGCTCAATGCAGAGGCTGTCCACATGGCAAGCGGCCTGAACATTGCCAGCAATGCAGTGCCTGCCCGCACGGAAAAGTCAAGCGCAATTGCTCGGAATGCAAACCCTGTCCGCATGGCAAGGCAAAACGAATCTGCTCGCAGTGCACGGGATGTCCGCACGGTAAGAAAAAACAATACTGCCTGCAGTGCAGCGCATGCCCACATGGCAAGATCAAGCGCAACTGCGTGCTGTGCAGCGCATGCCCACATGGAAAGATCAAGCAGAATTGCTTGCAGTGCAGCGCATGCCCACATGGCAAGATTAAGAAGAACTGTGTGCAGTGCAGCGCATGCCCGCACGGCAAGCTGAAGACGAACTGTCGTATGTGTGCCGAAGCGAGGGGAAAAGTGAACTGCACGCTTTCAGGCTAGTTGCTCCATTGTTTTGCCGTTGCAAAATAATTAGTTAGGCTGGGTCTAGGCGCTCCAGTTGCTGGTGGCTGAAGAGATTTTGGAGCTTGTTGTCATTTTGCCCGTGCAAGATTCTTCTTGGCTTCGGGGACTCGTGTCAACAGATTCTTGGACCTCTGAAGGAGCGCGGTCCAGGGGCTTGCGCTGGCATGAGCCCCAGGGAACAGCGTTTGGGTTAACAGCTAACATTGGTTGGAACCTGCGATCTTTTCGATTCCCAAAGGGAGGGCCGGCGCACTGAAAGCGTGTCTTACCATTCGGCCAGTGCTTCTGCCACAAAGGCGTTCCCAGTGCAGGTCTCCATCTACATGTTTCACGGGAATTCAATCCTTCAGTTTGCATCCGTCTCTTGATCGCTCGAGCTGGCCAAACTTGTCTTTGGAAGGGTGTACCGGAAGGCGGAAGTTTGGTCGCCATTCCTGGGGGCATAGAACTTAGAAAATGCAAAGATCGAGCTTGGTAGTTGGCCTTTCCAATGTCAACTTGAGCCGGAAGGTTTGCACCGGAAGGCATCGGAAGGCATCAGTGTGCCCTGCTTGACTTTTGCATTTTGTATCTTGGCGCGGAGCGGCCTGGGTGGTGCGGAGGCCGCGGGGTTCGCCTCTCGTGAGGCGGGGCCATGGGCCGGTCTAAGGCAACGGAAGGCAGTCTTCGGGGTTATGGGCATGCACAAAGTCACAAGAAGTCGCAAGAAGTCGCAAGAAGTCGCAAGAAGTCGCAAGAAGTCGAGAAGCCAAAGGGCGAGTCACGTTTTACCTGAGGGCCGGGGGTTTTCAGAAGACTCGCCTTGTTCGACTCTTCAAATATTGTCCCGGGAGGTGCTTCACTGAAAGAGGAACAGGAGGGTGGCGTTCTCAAAGGCATCGCCGTTCTCCAAGTCGAATCTGCTGTCTGGTACCAGTTGGACATCCAGTTGGACCCCTGAGGGTAGTGGTTGGCAGACTAAGCAGATCGGATTCGGCCCCGTTTTTAAGGAATGAAGGGACATCCCAAAGCTTGTGGTTTAAACATGTTTGAACATGTTCAGGCAATCGGCGGACCCTTGTCGTGCATGCCCAAAAGCCGATTTGAACGTGTTCAAAGAATGCTTGGCCGCTTCTGCCTGTTGCTTTTCAGGTAATGGGCCTCTGATTGACCGCCTTGCTTTTCGCCCAGGATCAACCTGAAGGGTCTGGTTCTGTTGCTGGCTAGCAGATAGCAGATAGCAGTTGGTCCACAAGGCTTGATGTTCTCGGAATGAGGGCTCCTTTCGTGGTGACGGCCGGAATAGCTTTGGACCTGAGCGCATCCACAGCCAACAGCGATGAACAGCATGCCTTGTTCCAACATTTCGAAGTGGACAATAGGCCTTCCCACTTTGAAGATTGTTAGAAACAGGGTATCCTATTCATGTGCACCATGCTCTCCAAGTGACCCTATTGAGATGTCCTTGACTGCCTGAGCGGCTGAGTTTTGACCCATTAAGAAACGGGGGTTGATCAAAAGGTCCTCTGCATGAGATGAGCATTGGGTGACACCACTCTACATGGGACGCGCATTGGGGCACTAAAGTGGTGATATTTCCACGAAATGGGAAAAGTTAGCCTGAACCCCGAAAAAGACAGTGGCCAGCTCGACCCGAAGCCAAGCCCGCTTGGTTGCTGCAGATCAGTGGGATACGTGACGGTTTTCCCAGACCCCAAGCAAGGCTTCAGAAATGGCCCAAAATGACCCCTGAGCTCTTGACTTGACATCCCGGGAATGAAAGCGGACTTTTTCCAAGGGGTGGAGGTGCTTGCCAGATGAGTTCTGTGATAAAGACCTGCTTTTTTCCAACAAATATTTGGGACACAAGTTCTATCATCATGTTTGGCAAGGCAAATGCGACTTGTAGAAGGAAGCCGCTTTCCCAGCCCCATGGTCCATTTCCTGTTTGAAGTGAAGCCAAACGACCCTGCATTTCACTCCCTGGGGGTCCCTGAAAGAGGAACATGGGCCAAATCCGGGACCCTTTCAGGTTCCGTGTCAGAAGATAACTCATGCTTTACTTGCGGGAATGGCATCTTACCATCCACTCCTAGGCGTCAAGTGGTGAACCTCATACCAACAGGGTTTTGTCTTGCGATTTGGACTGGAAGCCTTCAAACCTGACTCCGGCTTTTGGTGGTCCCCAAACCATGAAGCTTCCGGTTGGACCAAGGCGTCCATTTGTAGTCATAAAATAGTGGAAGCCTGGGCTCTCCTGTTTCCCTTCAATTCGTTCAATACCGGGATGCTTTTTCTTGAGCCCTTTTACACTTTTACTTCTAAGGGACGCAAAGGCACGACCCTATGCCATGGACACTTAGAGCTTTTTTTGCATCCCAAACCCCTGAAGAAGCTGCATTTGCCCTACACGAGTGTTTTGCCTGCGGTCAGGAGATTTGACGCCCACTTTCCTATTTCGGAATCACTCTCGGTATTTGCAGGCCTATGACAGCGGTATGATCCGAGGAAACCAAAAACGCATTGATTGCATGTACCATTGGCATTATTATCATCATTGGCATTCAGCAGATTTCGAAAAGTAAATTCCAAAACAAGTCCCTTCCAAGGCAGACCACCTGCCGGTCAGGCCTGACGCCCCAGCAAAGCAGCACGTGTTGATCGTCTTGTTTTCATTCAGTCGAGAACGGGAGCATTGCCAGTATTCTTTGTCGCAGGAAGCCCAGCTCCGATCCTGCTTTTGGCATTTCTAGGCTTTCACTGCAGCCATTGCATCGAGGGACTGGGCTCCCGTTCCTTCTTGCGTGGTCGTTGTGTCACATGTGCTCTGTGGCATGGCTTCGGCTTTGACTACCGTTTGCCTTGAAGATGAGCTGGCAGCGATGCCTGCACCATGGCGTGACCGAGTGCAGCACCATGCTCGGCGCTTTCAGGAGAAGGATGCCACAACGGTCCTGAATCGCTACGAGCAGCAGAGGAGAATCATGAGCCGGCCGCAGCTCGAAAAGCATGCCTTTCATGTGGCATCCTGGCTGGTGCTTCCAGAGGTGAGAAGAAGCCACGGCGGTTCCGTGGAGGCGCTGCTGTCCAGGTACTTGGAGTCCTTGGATGGGCAGCCACTTTGCGAGCGCCTGAAAGTGGTTCTGTCACTTGTCTCGGCCAGTTCGGGAGTTGCAGGGCTCTCGGGGTTGCTGGGCAAAGGGCGGAAGAGAAAGGCGGAGATGATGCAGGCAGAAGAGCCAGAAAAGCCGGATTCCAGCAAGCCAGTTGATGCCTGCGGTGAAAAGGCTGTGCAGCTGATGCAGAAGGCCAGCCAAACGTGGCAGAACCAGCCGTCCGAGTGCAGGGAAGCGTACGTGGATTCTCTGGAGCAGGAGATGCAAGATGCCGACGGAGCTGAGAACTCGGCCAAGCTGCGCATGGTCCTGCGCCGAGCCGTAGCTGCGCTTTCCCCGCCACGGCGTCTGGGTGATGGGTGCGAGGGCAAGTTGCTGGCATCCCACGCATCCAACGACCAGGCGACGCTGGCCACCAACCTGCAATCTCGACTTCGCAAAATCGTGCTCCGCTGCCTGGATCGAGTGGACATGGCAGATTTGCGTCTTGCACCGGTGCTGCAATGCTTGCAGTCACTGCTCCAAAGGTTTCAGGAGCTTGTCACCGGTGAAAGCAGGATCGCTTGCAAGAAGCAATGGGCTCGGCTTCAAGCCAAGTGTGCGAGCACCGTGCCGCCCGCAGCAGCAGCAAGCTTGTCAGCGTGTAAAAAGGGAGCCGAAGATTGTGCTGGCATTGCCAAGCCCGAGTCTTCAGCATCATGCCCCCATGGCAAGGTGAGACGAAGCTGCGCTCAATGCACAGGCTGTCCACATGGCAAGCAGCCTCAACAATGCCCGCAATGCAGTGCCTGCCCGCACGGAAAAGTCAAGCGCAATTGCTCGGAATGCACACCCTGTGCGCATGGCAAGGCAAAACGAATCTGCTTGCAATGCACGGGATGTCCACACGGAAAGCAAAAAAAGTACTGCCTGCAGTGCGGCGCATGCCCGCACGGCAAGATCAAGAGCAGCTGCGTGCAGTGCAGCGCATGCCCACATGGAAAGATCAAGCAGAATTGCTTGCAGTGCAGCGCATGCCCACATGGCAAGATCAAGCAGAATTGCTTGCAGGCAAGATCAAGAGCAACTGCGCAGTGCAGCGCATGCCCACATGGAAAGATCAAGCAGAATTGCTTGCAGTGCAGCGCATGCCCACAGGCAAGATCAAGCAGAATTGCTTGCAGTGCAGCGCATGCCCGCACGGCAAGACCAAGCGAAACTGCTTGCAGTGCAGTGCATGCCCACATGGCAAGATCAAGAGCAACTGCTTGCAGTGCAGCGCATGCCCACATGGAAAGATCAAGCAGAATTGCTTGCAGTGCAGCGCATGCCCACATGGCAAGATCAAGCAGAATTGCTTGCAGTGCAGCGCATGCCCGCACGGCAAGACCAAGCGAAACTGCTTGCAGTGCAGTGCATGCCCACATGGCAAGATCAAGAACAACTGCGTGCAGTGCAGCGCATGCCCGCACGGCAAGCTGAAGAGAAATTGTCGTATGTGTTCCGAAGCGAGGGGAAAAGTGAACTGCACGCTTTCAGGCTAGTTGCTCCATTGCAAAATAATTAGTTCGGCTGGGTTTAGGCGATCCAGTTGCGGTTGGCTGAAGAGACTTTGGAGCTTGTTGTCTTTCCTTATGGAGGCAAAGGCGGTGCCCCTGCAAGATTCTTCTTGGCTTCGGTGGACTTGTTTGGAATTTCAACAAATTGTTGGACCGGGCTTGTGAGCCCTAAGGAACGGCGTGTGGGTTGACAGTTAATATTGGTTTGAATTTGAGATTTTTGTGAATGCCCAAAAAAGGGCGGCATACTGAAAACGTGTCTCACAATTCGGCTTCCCCAGTCCAGGTGTCCATCTATATGTTTGATTGGAAGTGACACCTTCAGTTTTGCATCCGTCTCTTGATCACTCGAGCTGGCCAAACTTGGTTCCCTGGAAGGGTGTACCGGCAGGCGGAAGTTGGGTAGCCAGTCTTTGGGGGCATAGAACTTGCGAAATGCAAAAATCGAACTTGGCAGTTAGCCTTTCCAATGTCCACTTGAGCCGGCGGGTTTGCGCATGCCTTTGAGGCACCGAATCCGCGGCTCGTGGATGTTGAGGGCCTGGGCTCTCGTAATCGTTGAATACCGGAATGACACGACTTTAGCCGGGGACCCCTTCAGATGAGCCATGTCAGAAGAAGAAACATGGTGCTTTTTCCCCACCCGACAGGAAGGGGTTGTTAGATTTTATGTTGGAATCCGCGGCTCGTGGATGTTTTCCCGGGGTCCTGGCTGGGCTTTCGGAATCGTTGAATACTGGAATGACTTTCGCCGGATCATTTTTCAGGTCCATGTCAGAAGAAGAGACACACGGCGTGTTATTTTTTGGAATGAGACTTTGCGGACCATCCTTCGGCCTTTGCGTCCAGCTTGGCGCCAGGCCTCGCGGAGGCTGCGGGGCCTCGCGGAGTTCGTGAGGGGCCACGGGCCAGTCTAAGGCAACGGAAGGCAGTCTTCGGGGTATGCTTATGAAAACGCAAAACAAGAAAGACGTCACAAGTCGCAAGAAGTCGCAAGAAGTCACAAGAAGTCGCAAGAAGTCGGGAAGCCAAAGGGCGAGTCACGTTTTACCTGAGGGCCGGAGGTTTTCAGAAGACTCGCCTTGTTCGACTCTTCAAATATTGTCCCGGGAGGTGCTTCACTGAAAGAGGAACAGGAGGGTGGCGTTCTCTAAGGCATCACCGTTCTCCAAGTCGAATCTCCTGTCTGGTACCAGTTGCACATCAGTTGGACCCCCTGAGGGCAGTGGTTGGCGGACTAAGCAGATCGAATTCGGCCCCGTTTTTAAGGATTGAAGGGACATCGCAAAGCTTGTTGTTTAAATATGTTTGAACATGTTCAGGCAATCGGCCGACCCTTGTCGTGCATGCCCAAAAGCCGATTTGAACGTGTTCAAAGAATGCTTGGCCGCTTCTGCCTGTTGCTTTTCAGGTAATGGGCCTCTGATTGACCGCCTTGCTTTTCGCCCAGGATCAACCTGAAGGGTCTGGTTCTGTTGCTGGCTAGCAGATAGCAGTTGGTCCACAAGGCTTGACCTGAACGCATCCACAGCCAACAGCGATGAACGGCATGCCTTGTTCCAACATTTCGAAATGGACATATCCTATTCATGTGCACCATGCTCTCCGAGTGACCCTATTGAGATGTCCTTGACTGCCTGAGCGGCTGAGTTTTGACCCATTAAGAAACGGGGGTTGATCAAAAGGTCCTCTACATGGGATGAGCATTGTCTGCAACCACTCTACATTGGATGCGCATTGCACTAAAGTGGTGATATTTTCCACGAGATGGGAAAAGTTAGCCTGAACCCCGAAACAGACAGTGACCAGCTCGACCCGAAGCCAAGCCCGTTTGGTTGCTGCAGATCAGTGGGATACGTGACGGTTTTCCCAGACCTCAAGCAAGGCTTCAGACATGGCCCAAAATGACCCCTGAGCTCTTGACTTGACATCCCGGGAATGAAAGCGGACTTTTTCCAAGGGGTGGAGGTGCTTGCCAGATGAGTTCTGCGATAAAGACCTGCTTTTTTCCTTTGTCCACAAATATTTGGGACACAAGTTCTATCATCATCTTTGGCAAGGCAAATGCGACTTGTAGAAGGAAGCCGCTTTCCCAGCCCCATGGTCCATTTCCTGTTTGAAGTGAAGCCAAAACCCTCGTATTTTCACTTTTTGGGTGTCCCTGAAAGAGGAATATGGGCCAAATCCAGGACCCTTTCAGGTTCCGTGTCAGAAGATAAATCATGCTTTACTTGCGGGAATGACATTTTACCATCCACTCCTAGGCGTCAAGTGGTAAACCTCATACCAACATCCCTGCGCGCAAGATTTGGGGCAGGGTTTTGTCTTGCGATTTGGACTGGAAGCCTTCAAAGCTGACTCCGGCTTTTGGTGGTCCCCAAACCATGAAGCTTCCGGTTGGACCAAGGCGTCCATTTGTAGTCATAAAATAGTGGAAGCCTGGGCTCTCCTGTTTCCCTTCAAATCGTTCAATACCGGGATGCTTTTCTTGAGCCCTTTTACACTTTTACCCTTTGTAAGGGACGCAAAGGCACGACCCGATGCCATGAACACCTAGAGCTTTTTTTGCATCCCAAACCCCTGAAGAAGCTGCATTTGCCCTACACGAGTGTTGTGCCTTCGGTCAGGAGATTTGACGTCGAGTCAGCTGCTCGACAATTGCGCCAGGCCTGTGGGAAATGGGGTTTGAGGCCAGCCCACTTTCTTATTTCGGAATCACTCTCGGTATTTGCAGGTCTATGACAGCGGTATGATCCGAGGTGAAACACAATCAAAAAACGCATTGATTGCATGTACCATTGGCATTATTAGCATCATTGGCAGTCAGCAGATTTCGTAAAGTAAATTCCAAACAAGTCCCTTCCAAGGCAGACCACCTGCCGGTCACGCCTGACGCTCCGGAAAGCAACACGTGTTGATTGTCTTGTTCTCATTCAGTCAAGAACGGGAGCATTGCCACTATTCTTTTGTCGGAGGAAGCCTAGCTCCGACCCTGCTTTTGTCATTTCTTGGCTTTGACTGCAGCCATTTCAGCGAGGGACTGGGCTCTGTGTCACATGTGCTCCGTGGCATGGCTTCGGCTTTGACAACCGTTTGCCTTGAAGATGAGCTGGCAGCGAAGCCTGCACCATGGCGTGACCGAGTGCAGCACCATGCTCGTCGCTTTCACGAGAAGGATGCCACAACGGTCCTGAATCGCTACGAGCAGCAGAGGAGAATCATGAGCCGGCCGCAGCTCGAAAAGCATGCCTTTCATGTGGCATCCTGGCTGGTGCTTCCAGAGGTGAGAAGAAGCCACGGCGATTCCGTGGAGGCGCTGCTGTCCAGGTACTTGGAGTCCTTGGACGGGCAGCCACTTTGCGAGCGCCTGAAAGTGGTTCTGTCACTTGTCTCGGCCAGTTCGGGAGTTGCAGGGCTCTCGGGGTTGCTGGGTAAAGGGCAGAAGAGAAAGGTGGAGATGATGCAGGCAGAAGACCCAGAAAAGCCAGATTCCAGCAAGCCAGTTGATGCCTGCGGTGAGAAGGCTGTGCGGCTGATGCAGAAGGCCAGCCAAATGTGGCAGAACCACCCGTCCGAGTGCCGGGAAGCGTACGTGGAGTCTCTGGAGCAAGAGGTGCAAGTGGCCGACGGAGCTGAGAACTCGGCCAAGCTGCGCATTGTCCTGCGCCGAGCCGTAGCTGCGCTTTCCCCGCCACGGCGTTTGGGTGATGGATGCGAGGGCAAGTTGCTGGCATCCCACGCATCCAACGATGAGTGGACGCTGGCCACCAACCTGCAATCTCGACTTCGCAAAATCGTGCTCCGCTGCCTGGATCGAGTGGACATGGCAGATTTGCGCGTTGCGCCGGTGCTGCAATGTTTGCAGTCACTGCTCCAAAGGTTTCAGGAGCTTGTCACCGGTCAAAGCAGGATCGCTTGCAAGAAGCAATGGGCTCGGCTTCAAGCCAAGTGTGCGAGCACTGTGCCACCCGAAGCAGCAGCAAGCTTGTCAGCGCGTGCAAAGGGAGCCGACGATGGTGCTGGCATTGCCAAGCCCGAGTCTTCAGGATCATGCCCCCATGGCAAGCTGAGACGAAGCTGCGCTCAATGCAGAGGCTGTCCACATGGCAAGTGGGCTTACAATTGTCCGCAATGCAGTGTTTGCCCGCACGGAAAAGTCAAGCGCAATTGCTCGGAATGCACACCCTGTCCGCATGGCAAGGCAAAACGAATCTGCTCGCAGTGCACGGGATGTCCGCATAGTAAGCAAAAACAATACTGCCTGCAGTGCGGCGCATGCCCACATGGCAAGATCAAGCAGAATTGCTTGCAGTGCAGCGCATGCCCACATGGCAAGATTAAGAACAACTGCGTGCGCTGCAGCGCATGCCCACATGGCAAGATTAAGAAGAACTGTGTGCAGTGCAGCGCATGCCCGCACGGCAAGCTGAAGAGGAACTGTCGTATGTGTGCCGAAGCGAGGGGAAAAGTGAACTGCACGCTTTCAGGCTAGTTGTTCCATTGTTTCGCTGTTGCAAAATAACTAGTTAGGCTGGGTCTAGGCGCTCCAGTTGCTGGTGGCTGAAGAGATTTTGCAGCTTGTTGTGATTTTGCCCGTGCAAGATTCTTCTTGGCTTCGGGGACTCATGTCAACAGATTCTTGGACCTCTGAAGGAGCGCGGTCCAGGGCTTGAGCTGGCGTGAGCCCCAGGGAACAGCGTTTGGGTTGACAGCTAACATTGGTTGGAACCTGCGATCTTTTTGATTCCCAAAGGAAGGGTGCACTGAAAGCGCGTCTTACCATTCGGCCAGTGCTTCTGCCACAAAGGCGTTCCTTGTGCAGGTCTCCATCTACACGTTTCACGGGAATTCAAACCTTCAGTTTGCATCCGTCTCTTGATCGCTCGAGCTGGCCAAACTTGGTTCCCGGTCTCTTTGGAAGGGTGTACCGGAAGGCGGAAGTTTGGTCGCCATTCCTGGGGGCATAGAACTTACAAAATGCAGAATCGAGTTTGGTAGTTGGCCTTTCCAATGTCAATTTGCCTTCCGGCGGGTTTGCACCGGAAGGCAGAAGGCCTGGGAGGTGCGGAGGCCGCGGGGTTCGCCTCTCGTGAGGCGGGGCCACTGGGCCGGTCTAAGGTAACGGAAGGCAGTCTTCGGGGTTATGGGCATGCAAAGCAAGAAGTCACAAGAAGTCGCGAGAAGCCAAAGGGGCGAGTCACGTTTTACCTGAGGGCTGGGGGTTTTCAGAAGACTCGCCTTGTTCGACTCTTCAAATATTGTCCCGGGAGGTGCACTGAAAGAGGAACAGGAGGGTGGCGTTCTCAAAGGCATCGCCGTTCTCCAAGTCGAATCTTCTGTCTGGTTCCAGTTGGACATCCAGTTGGACCCTGAGGGCAGTGGTTGGCAGACTAAGCAGATCGGATTCGGCCCCGTTTTTAAGGTATGAAGGGACATCGCAAAGCTTGTGGTTTACACATGTTTGAACATGTTCAGGCAATCGGCGGACCCTTGTCCAAAAGCCGATTTGAACCTGTTCAAAGAATGCTTGGCCGCTTCTGCCTGGGGTTGCTTTTCAGGCAATGGGCCTCTGATTGACCGCCTTGCTTTTCGCCCAGGATCAACCTGAATGGTCTGGTTTTGTTGCTGGCTAGCAGATAGCAGTTGGTCCACAAGGCTTGACCTGAACGCATCCACAGCCAACAGCGATGACCGGCATGCCTTGTTCCAACATTTCGATTTGGACAATAGGCCTTCCCACTTTGAAGATTGTTAGAAACAGGGTATCCTATTCATGTGCACCATGCTCTCCAAGTGACCCTATTGAGATGTCCTTGACTGCCTGAGCGGCTGAGTTTTGACCCACTAAGAAACGGGGGTTGATCAAAAGGTCCTCTACATGGGATGAGCATTGGGTGAAACCACTCTACATGGGACGCGCATTGCACTAAAGTGGTGATATTTTCCACGAAACGGGAAACATTAGCCTGACCCCCAAAACAGACCGTCATTCACCCTCCCTTGACACACTTCGCCTAGTGCATGTCCTCCCAGTGGCCAGCTCGACCCGAAGCCAAGCCCGCTTGGTTGCTGCAGATCAGTGGCATACGTGACGGTTTTCCCAGACCCCAAGCAAGGCTTCAGAAACGGCCCAAAATGACCCCTGAGCTCTTGACTTGACATCCTGGGAATGAAAGCGGACTGTTTCCAAGGGGTGGAGGTGCTTGCCAGATGAGTTCTGCGATAAGGACCTGCTTTTTTCCCACAATTTTGTCCACAAATATTTTGGACACATGTTCCATGATCATCTTTGGCAAGGCAAATGCGACTTGTAGAAGGAAACCGCTTTCCCAGCCCCATGGTCCATTTCCTGTTTGAAGTGAAGCCAAACGACCCTAGTATTTCACTCCCTGGGGGTCCCTGAAAGAGGAATATGGGCCAAATCCAGGACCCTTTCAGGTTCCGTGTCAGAAGATAAATCATGCTTTACTTGCGGGAATGACATTTTTCCATCCACTCCTAGGCGTCAAGTGGTAAACCTCATACCGGACTCATACCAACATCCCTGCGCGCAAGATTTGGGGCAGGGTTTTGTCTTGCGATTTGGACTGGAAGTGGTGGTCCCCAAACCATGAAGCTTCTGGTTGGACCAAGGCGTCCATTTGTAGTCATAAAATAGTGGAAGCCTGGGCTCTCCTGTTTCCCTTCAAATCGTTCAATACCGGGATGCTTTTTCTTGAGCCCTTTTACACTTTTACCCCTTCTAAGGGACGCAAAGGCACAACCCTATGCCATGGACACTTAGAGCTTTTTTTCCATCCCAAACCCCTGAAGGAGCTGCATTTGCCCTACACGAGGGTTTTGCCTTCGGTCAGGAGATTTGACGTCGAGTCAGCTGCTCGACAATTGCGCCAGGCCTATGGGAAATGGGGTTTGGAGGCCCGCCCACTTCTTATTTCGGAATCACTCTCGGTATTTGCAGGCCTATGACAGCGGTATGATCCGAGGAGGTGAAACACAAACAACAACGCATTGATTGCATGTACCATTGGCATTATTAGCATCATTGGCATTCAGCAGATTTCGTAAAGTAAATTCCAAAACAAGTCCCTTCCAAGGCAACCGCCCGGTCAGGCCTGACGCTCCAGCAAAGCAGCACGTGTTGATCGTCTTGTTCTCATTCAGTCAAGAACGGAGCATTGCCACTATTCTTTTGTCGCAGGAAGCCCAGCTCTCACCCTGCTTTTGGCATTTCTAGGCTTTGACTGCAGCCATTTCAGCGAGGGACTGGGCTCTGTGTCACATGTGCTCCGTGGCATGGCTTCGGCTTTGACAACCGTTTGCCTTGAAGATGAGCTGGCAGCGAAGCCTGCACCATGGCGTGACCGAGTGCAGCACCATGCTCGTCGCTTTCACGAGAAGGATGCCACAACGGTCCTGAATCGCTACGAGCAGCAGAGGAGAATCATGAGCCGGCCGCAGCTCGAAAAGCATGCCTTTCATGTGGCATCCTGGCTGGTGCTTCCAGAGGTGAGAAGAAGCCACGGCGATTCCGTGGAGGCGCTGCTGTCCAGGTACTTGGAGTCCTTGGATGGGCAGCCACTTTGCGAGCGCCTGAAAGCGGTTCTGTCACTTGTCTCGGCAAGTTCGGGAGTTGCAGGGCTCTCGGGGTTGCTGGGTAAAAGGCAGAAGAGAAAGGTGGAGATGATGCAAGCAGACGAGCCAGAAAAGCCGGATTCCGCCAAGCCAGTTGATGCGTGCCGTGAAAAGGCTGTGCGGCTGATGCAGAAGGCCAGCCAAACGTGGCAGAACCACCCATCCGAGTGCCGGGAAGCGTACGTGGAATTTCTGGAGCAAGAGGTGCAAGAGGCCGACGGAGCTGAGAATTCGGCCAAGCTGCGCACGGTTCTGCGCCGAGCCGTAGCTGCGCTTTCCCCGCCACGGCGTTTGGGTGATGGGTGCGAGGACAAGATGACGGCATCTATCCCATCCAACGATGAGTGGACGCTGGCCACCAACCTGCAATCCCGGCTTCGCAAAATCGTGCTCCGCTGCCTAAATCGAGTGGACATGGCAGATTTGCGCGTTGCGCCGGTGCTGCAATGCTTGCAGTCACTGCTCCAAAGGTTTCAGGAGCTTGTCACCGGTCAAAGCAGGATCGCTTGCAAGAAGCAATGGGCTCGGCTTCAAGCCAAGTGTGCGAGCACTGTGCCACCCGAAGCAGCAGCAAGCTTGTCAGCGTGTGCAAAGGGAGCCGAAGATGGTGCTGGCATTGCCAAGCCCGAGTCTTCAGCATCATGCCCCCATGGCAAGGTAAGACGAAGCTGCGCTCAATGCAGACGCTGTCCACATGGCAAGCGGCCTCAACGATGCCCGCAATGCAGTGCCTGCCCGCACGGAAAAGTCAAGCGCAATTGCTCGGAATGCACACCCTGTCAGCATGGCAAGGCAAAACGATTCTGCTCGCAGTGCACGGGATGTCCGCACGGTAAGCAAAAACAATTCTGCCTGCTGTGCAGCGCATGCCCGCACGGAAATGTCAAGCGCAACTGCGTGCAGTGCAGCGCATGCCCACATGGAAAGATCAAGCAGAATTGCTTACAGTGCAGCCCATGCCCACATGGCAAGATCAAGAACAACTGCGTGCAGTGCAGCGCATGTCCGCACGGCAAGCTGAAGAGGAATTGTCGTATGTGTGCCGAAGCGAGGGGAAAAGTGAACTGCACGCTTTCAGGCTAGTTGCTCCATTGTTTCGCTGTTGCAAAATAATTAGTTAGGCTGGGTCTAGGCGCTCCAGTTGCTGGTGGCTGAAGAGATTTTGGAGCTTGTTGTCATTTTGCCCGTGCAAGATTCTTCTTGGCTTCGGGGACTCGTGTCAACAAATTCTTGGACCTCTGAAGGAGCGCGGTCCAGGGCTTGAGCTGGCGTGAGCCCCAGGGAACAGCGTTTGGGTTAACAGCTATCATTGGTTGGAACCTGCGATCTTTTTGATTCCCAAAGGGAGGGACGGCGCACTGAAAGCGTGTCTTACCATTCGGCCAGTGCTTCTGCCACAAAGGCGTCCCCAGTCCAGGTCTCCATCTACATGTTTCACAGGAATTCAACCTTCAGTTTGCATCCGTTTCTTGATCGCTCGAGCTGGCCAAACTTGGCTCCCGGTCTCTTTGGAAGGGTGTACCGGAAGGCGGAAGTTTGGTCGCCATTCCTGGGGGCATAGAACTTACAAAATGCAAAGATCGAGCTTGGTAGTCGGCCTTTCCAATGTCAATTTGCCTTCCGGCGGGTTTGCACCGGAAGGCAGAAGGCCTGGGAGGTGCGGAGGCCGCGGGGTTCGCCTCTCGTGAGGCGGGGCCACTGGGCCGGTCTAAGGTAACGGAAGGCAGTCTTTGGGGTTATGGGCATGCAAAGCAAGAAGTCGCAAGAAGTCGCAAGAAGTCGAGAAGCCAAAGGGCGAGTCACGTTTTACCTGAGGGCCGGGGGTTTTCAGAAGACTCGCCTTGTTCGACTCTTCAAATATTGTCCCGGGAGGTGCTTCACTGAAAGAGGAACAGGAGGGTGGCGTTCTCAAAGGCATCGCCATTCTCCAAGTCGAATCTCCTGTCTGGTACCAGTTGCACATCCAGTTGGACCCCTGAGGGTAGTGGTTGGCAGACTAAGCAGATCGGATTCGGCCCCGTTTTTCAGGAATGAAGGGACATCCCACAGCTTGTGGTTTAAACATGTTTGAACATGTTCAGGCAATCGGCGGACCCTTGTCGTGCATGCCCAAAAGCCGATTTGAACGTGTTCAAAGAATGCTTGGCCGCTTCTGCCTGGGGTTGCTTTGCAGGTAATGGGCCTCTGATTGACCGCCTTGCTTTTCGCCCAGGATCAACCTGAAGGGTCTGGTTCTGTTGCTGGCTAGCAGATAGCAGATAGCAGTTGGTCCACAAGGCTTGATGTTCTCGGAATGAGGGCTCCTTTCGTGGTGACGGCCGGAATAGCTTTGGACCTGAGCGCATCCACAGCCAACAGCGATGAACAGCATGCCTTGTTCCAACATTTCGAAGTGGACAATAGGCCTTCCCACTTTGAAGATTGTTAGAAACAGGGTATCCTATTCATGTGCACCATGCTCTCCAAGTGACCCTATTGAGATGTCCT